TCCTTGGAAAGAAAGATGTTAATTATATTATCCAACTAGTTCTTTGGGCATTGTGACTATTTATGTTATACCTTTGTGTTTTTTTTTTTCTTTTTTGGTTGCACCATGAGGTTTGTGGGATCTTAGTTCCCTGACCAGGATCCAACCCAGGCCCTTGGCAGTTAAAGCACGGAGTCCTAACCACTGGCCTATGAGGGAATTCCCTATTTATGTTATATTTTTATTGTTATACTCTGACTTAACTATGCTTTTCAGACTCGTGCCTTTTGGTTGACTGCGCAATAACTTAAAGTGATTAGGCTTTTATTATTTCAACAAATTTCTCAGAATGACTATATTTTAGCAATGAATGTTATCTACTACTGCCCAACAGATTACCAAAAATCTTAGCAGCTTAAAACATCCAACATTTATCATCATCTCATACCTTTTCTAGCCATTAGGAGTCCACCAAAGGCTTAGTTGGATGGTTCTAGTTTAAGGTCTCATAAATTGTAGTTAAGATATCTGTGAAGCTGCAGTTACTGGAAAGCTTCCCTGGCACTGACCGACCCACGGCCAAGGTGGCTCACGCACACAATTGTTGGCGGGAGGCCCCAGTTCTTTGCCACGGGGGCCTCTCCATAAGGCTCTCTGGGTGTCCTTCCTACATGGCAGCCAGCTTCTTCCCTCAGAGCATTTCAGGAGTGAGTAGGGAGGAATCTGAAATGCCTCTTATGATCTAGTCTCAGAAGACAACATCTGTCATTTCCATCTTATTTTAGTTTGTTAGAAATGAGTCTTTAAGCCCATTGGGAATTCAAGAGAGGGAATTAGGCTTCATCTTTTGAAGACAGCGTCAGAGTATTTGTGGACATACTTTAGATCACCATAGTGATCTTTTGGTAGATTGGTGGGAGTTTTTTAACTGAAAAATATCACTTATGAATAGTAGTTTATATCCCAGCTGTGGTAGTACACACTGCATTAATACTGTACATGACAGAGCCTGGATCATGAATTTATTTTGTTGGTGAATGCCAAATAAATATATATTATTTTAATGCTTTTATTAATACAGTTTTTGAATGAACATTGGTGTTCTGGCACTGTTCTCTCTTTCCATTCTTAGAAGGCTGTCTCATATAAGACCATAGCTTTAAATATCTCTATGCTGTTGACAGAACAGATTTATATCTTTAGTCTCAAAAGTTTCCTTTAAGTTTCAGAGCCAGATGCCCATTAGACATTCCCTTTGAGTAATTTCAAATGTCTAAAGTTGAACCATTGATCTCTTCTTCCCACTCCTTTCAAAATCTGTTTGTCCCCATTTCAGTAATTGCTCGTGCCAGAAACGTAGGGATTTTTTTTTTTTTTGACTCCTCACTCTCCCTTACCCCTATATCTAATCCATTACCAAGGCCTACTGAATCTGTTTGTGAAGTATGTCTTGATTCCATCCACTATAGCACTACTGCCATAATCTTAACTACCATTGTCCCTCTCCTAAACTGCTACAGTATCCTTCTTAGTGGTCTGTTTGCTTCTCCTTTTGTTCCCTCCAGTCCATTGCATAGAAACCAGGTAACTACGTTCCCATCCCACTTACATTTCAATCCCAAATCCACACATGATGTTGCCTGACCTGGTCCTTGACTTTCCTGCCTCTTGAGCCTCAGCTTCGACCATATTAACCCTCTTTCTCGACATTTCAGAAACATTGTTTTTGTTTGCTCTTCTTGGCCTCATAATCTTTGTGCAGTCTGTTCTGGTGCCTCCAATCCCCCTCCCCAGCTTTGTTTCTTTACCTGAGTATAATTCTTAGATTACACATGAAATGTCACTTTTCAACATTGCTTCCCTTACCTGTCTGTCCTATAGGACCTGGCACTTCTCTTTCTTTGCACTTCCCTCAAATTGTGATTATGTATCATTTGTATTGTCTTGTTTGATGTTTTAATTGTCTTCTTGCTTGTGAACTCCATTAAGGTTCAGTCTGTTTTGCTCTTGTCACTATATTACTATTATATACAGAATTGTGTATATAATAGGCACTTAATAAATATTTGGGAAGTAAATTAATATTCATTGGCAGGAACACTGTTCACTCAGAATTTAAGAGTTGGAAGGAATCTGATGAATCATTTAATTGGTTTAGTCTTGTTTCCATCATTTCTGTCATGTCCTTGACAGAAGTGCATTCATACTTTATTCCTTTGATATTCTGTGAGCAAAGATCCCTGATCCTTTCAGTTGTATCTCAAGTGTAGTCATTTCTCTATCCTTTGCATTCTTGTTATTTTCTAAAATATTTAAGAGTCCTGACCAGGTGGAATAGAGTAAGATGGTTACTCCTTTGACTATGGCAGTGTTCTTCTATCAGCACTTGATTAGTTTGTCTTCATTCTTAGCAGTTGGTCTTAAGCACTGATGTTTTTTGAGCTTGTAGTCAGCTAACACCTAACATTTTTCTTTTAAAGATTAGGGGCTTTCTTTGTTAGATTAATGAAGCTCTTGAAGCTGTTTTACCCTTAGCCGTCTCTTAGCTAAAGCTGTTCTCCATACAAGTTGTTGGAGAGTTTTTAGTCTATAAAAATATCTTGCAGCTGGGAATGTCATGGGTAGCACCTGCTACTTCCTGTACAAGGTTTGCATGTACGCTAAAGACATGTTGGAGAAGAAGAAACTTTTTTTTAAGCACCTACTCTGTAGCAGGCTTTTCTAAATACTTTATAAAGTAATGTACATAAAATATCCAGCATGGCAACTTAGGGTAGCATTTAACACATGGACTCCCAAATTAGATCTTATTGATTAGAATTATGGCCCTACCTCTTACCAACTGTGTAATCTTTGATAAATTCCTTAAACTCCACTTGCTTTAGTGTCCTCATCTATAAAATTATTATTTAAAATAACAAGCCTATCTTGTAAGATGGTTGTAATGGTTCTGTAAATTAATATATTCAAAGCATTCATAATGGTCTGCTACATAGAGGTGAATATATGTTAGGTATTACCTCATTTAGTTCTCAGAATAATTGTGTTAATATAATTCCACTTTTACAGATGAGGAAACTCATCCAGAGAGGTGAGGTTACTTCTTTAAGGCAGATCCAAGATTTAAAACTTGGGCCAAGAGTGGTAGAGTTGCAGATGTTTGTGCAGAAGGAATCACACATGATCCCTTTCCTTTGAAAGGGACTGTAAGTGTACAGATGCCTAGGGTCTCACTTACTGCAGAAGGATTTGCCTATACCTCTAATGAGGCAAGACCACATGTTCACTTAAATTGATGAAGAAGCAGTGACACTGAAAGATGGAATCAGTCCTATCAGTCAGTTTTCTGCCCAAGACTATGAAGTCCTTGAAGTAGAATCTGTCATATTTTTATTTGTAGCCCGTTGCATTAATGTGTAATACATATTCAGAAAATACTGTTGGTGAATCAGTGAGTAATAAATAAATGTGTGAAGGTATAGGGAGAGAGTGAGAGCTATTAAGAAGAAGAGAGGCAGGAATGATGCCAGGGTTTTTGGCGTGGGTGACTGGAGAGATGGCACCACCATCCTCCGTGACAGCAGACGGAGGAGGAAGAGAAGAAGGCATGTCAAGAGGAATGGGAAGGAAAGTTAATGAGTTTGATTTGGGCAGATGGAATGCAATCTTAGCAGAGTAGTTAATAGGTATATGCAAATGAGGAGAGAGATCAGGGTTGGAAATATACTGGAAAATTCCTTTGAATTTGAATCATGGAAGAGGTATCCCTAGAATCACAATCCCATAATTTGAAGAAATGAGTTTTCTTAAAAATACTGTTAAAGTCATATTATAGATGTTATTCTGTAATACTTTTAGACTTTACATCCTACTTTATCAGCATTGTGTTGATGAAAAGCAGTTTAATGTCATAGAGAGGTGAGAAATTGCAGAGATTTTAGAATAAACCATATATATATAATGCAAAATATAAATGACATCTCACTCTAAACCTTATTTCCTCAATTCTCAAAGTGCCTTTGGAGAGCTAGTTAGAGTGAAAAATTATTAGTTAATAGAAATCTTGATTTATTGATGGTAGAGTTCATGCCACAGTAATTATTTTACAAACAAAACCGTTTTCACTTAGGTATAGTTCAGGTTTAAGTCAGTAAAATCAGTTGCCTGGACCAGTAGAATGAGGGAGAAACAGAATCATATTCATTTTTATACACACTAACCTTTTTTTCTGTTAACTATTTGATAATTGTCAAACCTTAATTGGAGAGGTTATGTTTCATATCATCCATATTAAAAGCTCAGTTTTCTCCTAATGAAGTCAGATTTGTAATATTTTATGGAAATAATTTTATTTAAAATATATTTCTATTGTTTTTCCTTTAATGATGAAGCACACTGCATATTTAAATGTTTTTCTAGATAGACTTTCTCTTCTATCTATAGAATAAGTTATTAGAAGACTCAAACTGTTTTATCACATCTACTGAGATTGAAAGATTATTAATTCTTTAGTGTTTTAAATTCAGCTCTTCCTGCTTTATTCTTAATATATTTAGAAATTTTCTTAATGGTGTTAAAAGTGTTTTATTTAGAGCAACCAGAAAAAACTATTGAGATTATTAGTGTTCTTATCTTTTTTTTACATAAGGTTAATTTAGGGTCAGAAGTGGCAACCTGTTACTAAATTATTTAAGCTTTTGAATTATGGTGCCTTTTTTTTTAAATTTAAACAAAGATAGCTTTAATCTTTGAAAATGTACTCTATTGTTTAAGAATATGTTTGGGTATTTGTTTTCCTCTCTTGGTTTGTTAGAAACCTTTTAGAATTCAGTTATATTCATTTCCTTTTTAATATTTTTATTTTTCAGGAGTCAGGAAGAAAGCAGTGGAAGTTGGAATCATTGTTAAGTGATTGAGACTTTTTACAAGAAAATCTGATTGAATAAAAGTGTTTTAAATTAGTGACCATACAAGACCCGTTTTTAAAGGTAACACTGTACAGGAAACGTTAAAATTGAACAATGACTCAGCTATACCTTTACATCAGGTTATTGGGAGCCTATCTGTTCGTCATTTCTCATGTTCAAGGTAAATTCATTTAAGCAATCTTACCTCTTTTTTAGTCATTTATTTCTACATATAAAAAACACTCATTATTAGGACTGTTCTAATAGCTTTTAAGTGTAGAGGCACAGGATAGACACTAAGTAATTTTTGAACTTTACTAAGGCAAAACCATTTCCAAGTCTGTATAAAATCTCAGCCTCTTTGAACCTATTCTGTTATCTGTAACATAGGCGTTATGATATGCAACATGAGGTTTTAGGAGGATTAAATGAGGAAAAATATAAAGTAAAGTAGCTGACCTAGTGCCTGACACATAGGATAATAGATACTCAGGACTTAGTTTTAAAATTCCTCTCCTTTAAATTACAATAAGGAATAAACAGTTTTTTTTTTTTAAAGAAAAGCATTGTTGTTAAAAGAGTTTGAAAACATACATATAGTGTCTATGTGCCAAATATTAAAATTGAGTACTCAAAAGTTTTATTTATGACCAGTATTGTAATTCTACACTGTGCATTTACAGCCTAGAACTCCCAAATAGGAAGCTATTGTGATGATTCTTAGGATCAAATGGGCTATATATTTACACATGAGCTTTTTCCTGTATGCTTTAATTAGGACAGTATTTTCAACTGAAGAGAGAGCTGTTTGACAAAACACTTTTATAGAACTTACTAAAAATCTTTGTTCTCTTAAGTTTATGTCTTTAAAGATTTTTTTTCATAATGTTTTGTTCACAGTGACAATATCTGCTGAAAAGAATTACGATTAACAGCATAAATCTTTAAATTTTCATTTTAAAGAATGAATGTAATAATGAAATCTTAGCTTCTTTTGTATTTTGTCTTAGGTTTAGTACTCTTATTCCATGCTTGAATACTAGAGTGCTCTTGCAAAACCTGCTTTTTTGTGTGAAACATTACATTATTTGATAAAACATCTTTATTTTAATTCTGTTATTACATACCTTGTTGATTAGTACCAATCAAAGCTGTCACAGTTTTAAGATGAGTTAAATTAATAGTAACATTAGTGTAGCATTTGCTACCTTACTCCCAGGTAATCAGTATCTGGTATTAAATTTTTTTAATCTCCACAGTATGATACAAAATTCTCATTCCCCATTTTAAGTTGTTACATAATAAGCTTTTTTTTTTTTGACTGTGCCATGTGGCATGTGATACCTTAGTTCCCCAACCAGGGATCAAACCTGCTTCCCCTGTAGTGAAAGGTTGGAGTCTTAACCACTACACTGCCAGGGAAGTCCCAATAAACTTTTATTAGATGGAATAAATTGGGTTTTAGTTAACAAATTTAAATGAAAAGTCTTAGCACTGTATTTCTCTGACAAAAAGCAAAATTTGTTACATTTCCTTTCAAAGAAGGTTCGTCTGTGATAACTATTATTTGCCTTCAAATAATAAGATTAAAATATTTGCTCTTAATGAAAAGAACTAAAAACAGTGTGCAAAAATTATTTCTTAGAGATTACTACAGATCGCTAGAGTGGTGTTACATACATAACCTATAGCTTCAGCCCACCCCCGACTTATAATTTTATGCTTTGTAAACACAGGACTTGTGGGTAGAAAGAAATTGGCATGTTCTAGGAACTGACACAGGTCTTTATGTCTGGGCATAGTAGAGGGGAAGTGCTGTGAGTTGATGATGGAGACGTCCACAGGGTCCAAATCCTGTGGGGTGTCAGTAGGCATGGTGAAGGAGGTTGAACTTTATTCTGAGTGTATATGAAGCCATTTAACCGTTTTAAGCAGATGAGTGATGAGATCAGATTTAGGTTTATAGGTTAACTCTGGCTGCTATGTAGGAAACCGACTGGAGGGGACAAAAACAGAGGTCGGGAGATCAATGTCAAGATTCTTTCATTTTGGAAGTGACATGATGCGCCCAGGAAATGGCAGTGGAATTGGACCAAAATGAGAAAAAGTGAGATACATTTTGGAGGTTGAGCCTGGGGAGGACCAGGTTTGAGGAGAAAAGTGAAGCATTCTATTTTAGATGAGTTTGTTTTGAGATAAGTCAAGGCTGAAGGGATAAATCTAGAAACCATCAACAAAGTTTATTTAAACCTAGGGAGAGTGTGGAGAGACTGTTTTCTTTGTATCTGCACCTGTACTTGGTGAAATTTTACAACTTGAAGGTATAGCTCAGGTTTCTTTGCTTTTGATACCCTAGAATGAGTTTGTGTTACTAGCTCCTTCCTTTGTTTACATAGCACCTTTGTATTATATTGCTCTCTGAATTGTATTTATGTGCTTATCCCCTCCACACACATACATCTTTGCCTTCTTCCAAGTTTCTCAAGAACCAGATCAGTTTCCAGCATTCAGTAACTTGCCTGCACATAGTTGGCCTCTAATTAGTTAGTGTTATGTTAATTAAATATTTGAGATAATATAAACCCCAGATGCAAATTATTCCAATTAAAGTATTTTTAGCTCTTAAATTCAGTGTTCTAGGAAGTTATGTGTGTTAACATCATGTAACTTTGAATTTTCCAGGTATTGGTGATCTTTTAGTATAATTTTTTTGTTCTTAGTACTATCTTCGTTTATACACTTTTATTTTTAAGCCCTTTATTATGCATTCATTTGATCTATATATAATCTCTTACTTGGAAATTATTATCATCATTTTTTATAGATAAAAGCCTGAAGTTGAGAGAGTAACTTATCAGTTGAGATATTCAAGACTTGAACCCTTGACTTCTCACTGTTATTTCTGCCATACTATACTGCTTTTTCTGTGTATCACTAGATTTTTTAAAAACCAGCTATGTGCACATATTATTTGCCATTTGGTCTCCATAGTTAAATTGATGCTTCCTTCTGTAACTGTAATAGGATTTTAAAGCCGGTTAAGAGACCTCAGATGCGTTCTAGTCCTGTGGTCTTACTGAGTAAATGAGGCTTGATGTGACATGGGTTGTCTATAATTACCCAGCTCAATAAATGGTGCAGGGGCATAGTAGACCAGACTCCACGTTTCCTCGTTTCTTGCCCAGTAGATCTCTTCCATTCTTGAAACTCTTCCCCCCACACACACGCACCCTTTTTTTCTGTTGATGTTAACATAAATGAAGTCTACATTTTGTAGCATTTTAAAGGATTAAGTGAGGATTATTAAAATTTAAGGCATGGAATCACTAAAATTTATTTAGCAGCACATTCTTTTCTGGTTATCCATGGGTATGTAGATTATTTTTTCTTTTTTAAGTAGTTCTCACCAGAATAACTAAATTTTAAGTCAAGTTCACATTATGCCTCGAATCACTTATTTAACATTTACAATGAGATACATACATAATTCTCTTAATATTTTATACCTGTTTGGCTCTACATTTTATTCTCTGGAGATCTACCCCCACAAGGAGTAGCCTAGCTGATTTCACTGGTTCAGAGGGAGGAATTACTAAAACGCTGCTTTAGTTCTGTTCTGCTTTCAGTCTGAAAGAATCAGTACCAAATATGACAGTAAGTGTCATGTGAGGCTACGATACTCTAATGCAAGAACACAGTTCTGTTTCCATGCTGTAAGTACGGCCCTACAAGTAACCTTCAGTTTCTGGCAGCACAGTCTGGATTTGAACCAGTGACCTTGAGAATAAAAGGCACCAGATAATATGATTAGTCCCCAAGCTCTCACAGTTTCCTTACTTAAGCAATTAAAATCCAGGGCAAAATGCTTAGTAACTTCACTTTCACATAGAGATACATACAAATAAAGGACTTACTTTTTTAAAGCTAGTCACAAGTTTTGAACCAAAGTATCTTTAAAAGGAACCAAAATTTGTCGATTTTTTAATGATTGGAAATAATCTCACTCTTCTGAAACTGCTTTCCATTTTGTATCTTTCTTACAAGTTGTGATCATTTTCTACCTTGTGCCACTCTTGTCTTTCACTAGTGCAAAAATTGTGACATAGTCATCTCCATGTATTCCATGAGAGCTGGGGTAGTTTTTCTGTGCATTCTAGGCTGTTAATAAATGTAATCATATAAATAAAGTTTATTTTTAATTAAAAGCACAGAACTACAGTTAATGCAACAAGAAAGCATAGAAACTTCTCACTAAAAAATTGGAATAAAAGAATTAGATTTTCAGAAATGGTTCATTTACAATTTCACGTTTGAATACAGGGCAGAGTCTAGACAGTATGCTCCATGGTACTGGGATGAAATCAGACTCCGATCAGAAAAAGTCAGAAAATGGAGTAACCTTAGCACCAGAGGATACCTTGCCTTTTTTAAAGTGCTATTGCTCAGGACACTGCCCAGATGATGCTATTAATAACACATGCATGTAAGTATTTTGTGCTTTTTCTTAAAGTTATGAGAGTAAGTTTGCATTTAGTGCTATTATTTTAAGAACCGTTTACTTTGTCTAAATTTTTTTCTCTAACTTTATATGGTATCTCTCCAAAGAGCCAAAAGCTTCTTATTCTTTATATAGGAACATTTATTAAATGATTGATGGTTATTTTCTTAGAGTAACATTGTAATATAGCTTTTAAAAGAGATAAAAGGAATCTGGTATTCATCTGTCATTTTTGGTTTGTTTAGTGATCCTTTTATCAGAAAGTTCTTGATGCTTATTGTAGACAACTTAGGGATTATTAAAAAGAAACCTTGAAAATTCACATAAACCTTGTAATTCTAAATTGGTTGAAATATTTTACAGGTCTCCAAGAATGACATTGTGATAGTTAAATAATTTTTATTTTCTTAAAAGTGAACCCCCAGTCTAAATCTGCTTTATATAACCACTTTAATTTTTCTACTTAATTTTATGTTAACTGTTTAATATTTATATATGATCATGTAATTCTGTCCCATATTCTTAGGGGACAGTGAAGAATTAATTGTCTTACTAGTAAAAAAAAAAAAATCCCTGAAGGACTCAGTCAGTCAGTTATCTCCCTGTTATTAAGATATAATAATCAATAACTTGTTTTGTACTTTCCTAATACTTTTATGCTCTTTGAATGTGAACAGATATATAGCCAAGAAGTATACATACAAAATATTGAAATTGTATGATAGTTCACCATATCTTAGATTTGTTGTTTGTTCTGGTAGTGGTTGACTTTACTGTGACAGACTGATTGATCTGTGTTAGGAGGGTGTTCCCTATTATATTACCAGGTGACTTCTTGTCTGTAGTTCATACTTGGTCCATGTGAGCTATTTGTTAGAGGCTTGGAGAAGGAAATGGCAACCCACTCAAGGGGTTCTTGCCTGGAAAATCTCCATGGACGGAGGAGTCTGGTGGGCTTCAGTCCATGGGGTCACAAAGAGTCGGACACGACTGAGAGACTTCATTTTCACTTTGGGTAACCCAGAGTAAAACTTAGTGATCAGTTCTAACAGAATTTCATCCTGTCGCACTTAATATTTTCTCATTTCAGAAAATGAAAAATTATGCGAGATTCTTTTAACTGTAACAATACACTTAGTGATATGAATAGTAAGGAGGGACACACAAAGAATCTTTTAGCTATTTCTTCTACTCATTAAAGCTTGAATATATTAGGAGAAAATTCTGGCATACTAATACTAAAATAACATTTTATTTAATACAAATATATACATTTCTTGAAAATTCAGCTATTCAAAAGTTCCCCTTTTTTCCTTATCACATTAAATAAAAAGTGCCTCTTAGGATCATTGTTACTCAGATCTTCCCAAATATACTTTTCTTTGTCATTAAATCTATTTTTATGGTTCACAGAGAAGTTTTTTTTATTCATAATATTGTGTATAGTGTGGGAATACAGAAAATCTTATGGATGAAAAGAGACAAAGTTATTTTAAGTATATTTTTAAGCATTAAAGATTATCTACTTTATAAAGTTTTATAAGTAGTTTTTCTGTGATCACATGACTATGATTAGCAAAGAAAAGTTAAATAGCATTTCCTATTTGGGGGACTTGTTTAAAAGAAATCCTTTACTGCCTGACACTAGATTTTTATTCAACCTCTAGATTTTAGTTCAAATATGACAACTTTTATTTGCCTTAAAAATGCATGTGGATTTGCCAGTAAATCACACTGAATGTAATTCTTATTCAGCACTAAAAGCCATCATTAACTGGTCACATTCAAACTGAAATTTAATTAGTACCTTCCGATCTAAAGTTGATCTTTTGTCTTTTTGGCTTTTTTTCTTTTAGAACTAATGGGCATTGCTTTGCCATCATAGAAGAAGATGACCAGGGAGAAACCACATTAGCTTCAGGGTGTATGAAATATGAAGGATCTGATTTTCAGTGCAAGGTAAGATCTAATTTTAGGCCTATGAAATTAAGAAGGGAGGGGCCACAGGAAAAGCACTGACTCCCCAAGGAGAAGTGTGCCTGGTCGGCATATTGCTGTGTGTTCTGGGAACAAATACATTGGAGGAAGCTTAGCTCTTACTTCAGGTTATATGATTGTGTCAATTGAAATTACAGATTATTTTACTTTTAAAAAAAGTTGTAAATCATCTGTTTTTAAATTGTTAAGCCTGTAAAAAAATAATCCTGTCACACTTATTTGTACATTGTAAAATGGACTAGAAAGACTTTAAAGTGACGAGTAATAACCTTTATTACTCTCCGAGACAACTTAGAAATGGTAAGCCCTTGTAAGGAGATCTCAGTGGAGTTACTTTAACAGCACAGCAAAGGAGTCAGAGGATTAGCAATAGTTTATGAACATATTGATGGCTTTGGGTTATAAGCCTAATCTCTTCAAAATCTTGTATAATAATTTTGCCCCAGGTGATCCTTGCACTGTTCTTGAAAACTGCTCCAGAGAGAACTGTTTATTAACAAATTTAAGCCTCAACTATTTTAGAAAATTATTTAAATCAGTGAGAAACTCTCAGGATTGATAGAAACTTTGCACACATACACGGATGCACAGTCACATACATTGCATCCTATTTTCTATTTGCTTCACCTCTAGCAATGAGGGGCTCATTACCTCCCAAGCCCACCTGTTTCATTTGTAGTAATGACCTGACCTTATCCTTAGAAAACTTTTCCTCCAGATGACTGCATATCTCTCTTCCGTTGTACTTCTTTGGATCATAGAGAACAAATTGAATGCCTTTTTAACATGGTAGCCCTTTACTATGTGAAGAAGTCTTTTTGTATTACTTTACTCCTCATACACTATAGTTTTTACCCAATGAAAATAATAGTTCAAAATAACTTCAACTACTCCTTATACAGGATCAGTTTTAGAGTTGCTCACTCTTCCATTTCTCAGTGTAATATGCAGAATTGACTATAGTCTGCAAGGAAAAACAAGCAAAGAGTTAGTAACTCCCTCTCCTGAATGCAGCAAAATTTCATGTTAGAAGTTTGTCATACCTTATTCTTAAATAAGATACTAAGTTTTCTGTCAGCTGAAATCCTGGTATCTTTCATTCATGCTACTGCTCAGCCATCTCTCTTTCATTCTTCATTGGTGCTGTGGGTTTCTTGACACAGATAGCTAAATGAGAGTGGAATGAGTTTTGTTACATGGTTGTCATATAGTTGTCAAAGTTAAATTTCATTGTATTAAAATTAATCTTTTCCCCTTATCTGTCAGGATTCAGGAGATGCTGATTTGTTTTTGTCTCTTCCAGTTTTATTTATCAACCACACTTCAGTATACTTTTTAATCACTTAAAAATGTTATGAAAGACCTCTCTATGGTTAGAGCACTGAGCTGGGCAGTAACAACCAGTGCCTCACAGGCCCCCTCAACTAGGCATGTCACAAATGAATATAATATCAGTATAGTTTAGTTATTAAGCTTGACAGTGTGTTCAGATGGACGTGCTGCCTCTTAACCAGCTGTGGAACTTTGAGCAAGGAGCTTTACTCTCTTGTTGTTTTCTTATTAGTGAAAGAGTTCCTGTAAGAATCAAATAAGAGACAGCCTATGTTCAAAGAGTTTAGCACAACTGACACATAATAAGGACTTTTTTTTTTTTTTTAGTCAGGACTTAATAAATGCTAGCTTTAACCATATTGATAATGTAGTTGAAAGCAGGCTTTCAACTGAATTACACATATCCCTGAGTGCACACTGGCTACAGTACATGAGGATCACTAGGCACATGGACAGTTTTAAGGGAATTGGTTTACAGACCCTGAACTTCCATAGATCCTATTGCTTAATATTTATCTGCCTGAGACCGGAACTTCTTGAGCAGTTTCTCTGTTCCTTCCTTTTCACAATCAACCTTCTCACAGTTTCCTGATGAGTGGCCTGAAATGTAAATCCTCAAGTTCCCAAATGCTGTTATAATTCAAAATCTTAGTGTGGGGAACATGGGGATAACAAATATATTTGCATGTTTGGTAGTTTTTAATTTTTTGCTTTCAACCAAATTGCTTCATTTAAAATAACTTTTCATAGTAGGATTATTATAGATCTTTGTCATATGATTGGAAGGTCTTCAAAGAATTATGGGACAATGGTACAACAAATCCTTCCATTACCATCTTTTTGTTTATGTGATCAAAAAATCTTAGTACTCACCCAAAAAGAGGAAAAGAGAAAAATAGGAATAAAGTTAAATGCCAAACTTTTCTCATTTTAGCAATAAGTAATTGTCCATGAATTTATGAACTAGTTTTATTTAAGTCCTGTCTATCTCATACCTTTCCAATAAAATTTTCTTTTTATGTAAAGGTTATAATGCACATGTAATTTTTATTAATTTTATACTAATAATTGTGATGATAAATCAAGCCAGAATAATTTTTTAAGACTTAAAGACATCCTATCACAGGAAGTAAAAGAGGTTAATTTATATTTATATATGTTTATTTTTGAGGTGGAGAATTCTATCTCATGATACATTACATTAGGGCATAATGATTGTGGAACATGTGGAAAGGAAATAGCATAAGGAGAAAAAGGAATACTATAAAATTTTCCAATTTGTCCATTTATTTTTTAAAATAGTGATAATGGTTATTGAATTGCTATTTTATTTAGATGCTACTGAATAGATTTGAGTTATTAACTTTATTTTAAAATGTGCAATAAGTAGGGTATTATCAATACATTCTTGTACCTATTTATAATGAAAAATTTTAGATGTTAGCCTAAAGGGAATACATTGTGTTTCAGAATTGATTTAGAGGAGTGGTTGTTCAGTGGCTAAGTTGTGTCCGACTTTGCAGCCCCATGGACTGCAACACACCAGGTCTCCGTGTTCCTCAGTATCTCCCGGAGTTTGCCTAAGTTCATGTCCACTGAGTTGGTGATTTAGGGGTTACATAGACAAAAAATACTGACCACCACTTGGGTTACTTTCTGTGTATCTTGCTACATATCACTGTTAATTTACCTGGCACCTAACCTGAGCAGAACAGCTCTTCTGCTGGCACCTAAGCCTTTCCTCCCAATGCTTTCACATGCTGTCAGGTTTGGATCAAAACAGGTTCAAGTGATAATCACCATTCTTTGCTCAGGCCTTGATTTTTCCCTCACACCATCCAGTCTCTGTAGGGTAAATCTAGCTTCTTCTGTCTCTTCCTATAGGATGAATTATTTCTCAGAAACCGCACAGCCATTCCTTATAATTTGGTTTCAGTTACTTTCTCCTGTAACACTCCTCCTAACCCGCCACCCCCCATTCAGGTTTACCAAGTAAGTTAGAATCTCCTCTATTTCATGAATGCCAAGTGAGTTTTTTCCCCCACAAGAATTTTTATTGCCCACATAAAACCAGAGATACAAGTGGACTTAGGTGGGGCATGGCAATGGGGAGTGCAGGAACCAGAAAGGTTGTGTCGACCAACATCATAATCTAGACACACTTAACTTTTGCCTACCCAGATATATAGTTAACCTGGGTAAGAAAGATATGAGTCTCGTGTTGCTTATTCTCAGCGAAGCCACATTGCGTCTTCCCAGAGATTGCAAGCATTTTTGACTTATTCTAGAATCTTGACTGGGATCCACGTCACGTTCACTAGAGGAAGAAGAATTAATTTATTGAACATTTACTGTTTATATTTAATATGTTAAGTGCTTGGTACAGTTTATCTCATTTTCTCCCAATTATCCTGTAAGGTAGGTATTTTTTATCCTCCATCTTACAGGAGAGGAAGCTGAAGCCCAGAGAGAAGTAAGTTCATTGCTCAGGGTCACAAAGTTAATAAATGGCAAAGCTAGGATTTAAGCTATTTGGTTGCAGAATCCTTGTTGTTTTCATAATACTATGCTGCCTCTAATCTGTTGTTGGCAAAGTCTTTCTTTCCCTTTTAAAAGTAATATAACATTTAGCTATCTAGTTTACGACACTCCTCTTTTCTAAAATCTTTGAATCGTACCTCTTTCAGCCTTCTTCCCAGTGCTCTCGTCATCTTGTGATAATAATTCATCTAGCTTTGTGTTGTGGTCTTCAGTCACTAAGTTATATCTGACTCTTTGCAGCCCCACGGCCTGTAGCATGCCAGGCTCTTCTATCCCCTGTCTCCCAGAGTTTGTTCAAATTCATGTCCATTGAGTCGTTGATGCTATCTAACCATCTCATCCTCCGCCACCCTCTTCTCCTTCTGCCTTTAATTTTTCCCGGTATCAGGGTCTTTTCCAATGAGTTGGCTCTTTGCATCAAGTGGCCAAAGCATTGGAGCTTAGAAGATAGGAATTCAGACAGAACACAGAAACACTGTAGGGTCTCTGCATACTTCTGGGATACCAGTCCCACTTACTGGTGTTTGGTCTGCCTTCATCATACCTGTAATCATCCCTGATAGAGAAGACTGAAGCAAAGCAAGAGTTAAGGAAATGTTTCTTTTCTTTGTCCTCCATTACCTACTATTTTGTCAGCAATACTGCACCTGTTGCTTGATAGTCTTTCTTCTAACACTGCTAAAAACCCTTTGCTTATTTTTCTTTGTATTTTCTGTCCTGCAAGGCTAAGCTCATTTTGAACTTTAGCATACTGGGACTATTCTTGGATGCATCACACTTCTTTTTATTCATCTTTAACTATGTACTCTTCATTCCGTCCTTCATGTAAGTTTTCTCTAGATCCGGGATTTTTTTTTTCCCCAGAATCACTTGTGTAACTTCTGACATGTCTTCCTTGTCTCTTTTTATGATAATTTAAAAGTAATAGTTTGTTAGAAAGTTTAAAATTCAGTTAAAATGTAAAACTTGTTCTTTTGGAGGTTTCCAAATACTCTTGACCCATCTTCTCCTATGGGGACTCTCAAGTCCCTTATAGAATCCCATATAGATTCCCTTATGAAATGTCCTATTCACCTTTTTAACAGGAATACCCAATTATGCCGAGGTTTCCCCTTTCTGGCCCTCTGATATTTAAGACTCTCATGGTTAATTTCTGCTTATATTCTTGCTATTTTTATAATGACAGACAATTCCTTTCTGTTGCTGTTTTGGTCTAGAATATCACTTCTTCCAGGCAGTGCTGAAATGTCAGCATTCAAGTTAAAAACTTCTCAAATACTATATTTTTGGTTAAATAAAACTTCACATATAATTTGACATCTGTTCCCATGACTGCAGTCTTTTCCTGGGCTCATTTTCTGATCTATTAGGGACACGTATCTGGTTAGTGGTTTCTAAAAACTATCAGAAGTACTGTTTCTATATCTTGCCCTTACCCTCACCACATACACTTACTTTCTTCTGTATCAGGTTCATTATTTTCAACATAGTTGTTATATGCAAAATCATCTGTTATCTTCTGCCTATTTGACTACCTTTTATAATGTGCAATTTATTTGGCCCAGGACGCACTCCACGTTTTGGTCAGATCTTTAGTCTCATCCATCTAAGTCTCGGTACTACCATGAATTCATATTTACCCTACTAATTTGTCATTGTAATGAAATGTTTTACCCCATCTTTTTTAAGAAAAGATCTCATGACTTTACTGTTTTATTAATAATATATAGTAATATCTTAAGAAATGCCAAACTTTGGGTTAAAAATATATATACACTTTTGTTTATTTGTAATGAAGTTATAGACTAGTGTTCTCAGACACCACATAATACATTCTTCTTTAGAAAAAAAAATTTTAGAGTCTTCATAATACCATTTCACCACAGATTCAAATTTTTCCATATCATTTTTCACACATAAACTTGGCAGGTCCTTTTCACCCACTGAATTAGAAATTGTATTTTATGAATATTTTAAAAGTTATTTATCAATCTCATATATCAAATCATTTCTAATTTTCTTCCTTTAGGATTCACCAAAAGCCCAGCTACGCCGGACAATAGAATGTTGTCGGACCAACTTATGTAACCAGTATTTACAACCTACACTGCCCCCTGTTGTTATAGGTAGGTTAGCAGAGAAAAGTGCAGTCATTGTAAATCTCAGTAAACTATTTTCTGTGATTTTAACAATAAGCAGGCTTTCTAGAGTTCAACACTACAAGTTATTTTTTTCCTTTTAAGATGTAATAGAAAGATAATACATCTTTTTATTGTTTATTTCCATTGTCAGGTCCATTTTTCGATGGCAGTATTCGATGGCTGGCTTTGCTCATTTCTATGGCTGTCTGCATAATTGCTATGATCATCTTCTCCAGCTGCTTTTGTTACAAGTAAGATAATTATTTTGATGCAAAGTATTTTGTTGAATAGTAGATATAAACGGTTGTTCTTAAAGCCAGTAGGCAGAAACCATTGACACTGAATATATTTCAGAAACCATTAATTTGTATTCTCTGGTTATATTTCCTTTAATTAGTGGTATTATAGTTTTCTTCAGTGAACAGAGGACCTTACTACCAGTCAATTAACTGGACACAACATTGTACTTCTTGTTATGTTCACGAATACTTAAGATTTCCTTATTTATAGAATACTGAACTTTTTTATGGCTGAATATTTAAAACCTATCCCAGGAAATCAACTTTATATATTACCCTTCTTTAGTTATTTGGTGGTTCAGAGTTATTTGCATTTGGTCAATGATTTCAGAAGACAGTTGCCAGAAGTGAAAAGGATAAGAGGAGGGCATAAACTTCATAATAAAACATTATCTGATTGATATATGAATAAACTGAGAGATCAGTGGAACTGGCTACTAGACCTATAAGTAGACCCAAGTATATAAAGTTAGTATGTGATAAAGGTAACATTTCAGATTACTAAGGAAAAGTTGGCTTATTCAGTAAATGGATTTGGGAGTAGATAGCTATATGGAGAATAATGAAGTTGAGTCAGTTCTGTACACTGAAATAAAGTTTAGCCAGATTTAGCCATATAGATATAAAATTCACATGTATATGTATTTACACATATAAAGTGAAATGATTAAAATACTAGAACAAACCTTGGAATAGTTTTTTAAAATAATCTGAATCTGACACAAAACTTACAAGCCAAAAAAAAAACCCTTAAAATTAAAAAAGAAAAGATTGATGGTGTCAACTACATAAAAATAAAACTTTACTATGTAGTAGAAATCACTATAAATGGTCAGAAGACAGTTTAACAGTGAAAAATATCCCCTGCTTATATTACAAAGAGCTGATTTCTCAAATATAAAGAGCTTCTATAAATCAAAAAGAAAATCAATTCGGTAATTAGGCCCCCCCCCAAATGAACATATGGTTTGTTTAAATAGAAATACATATGGCTCTTAAAAGAAAAAGATGACTCAAGAATACTCATGAAAAATATAAGTTAAAATCATACTGAGGTATTATTTTTTACCTGTTATACTGGCAGAGATAGATAGAGCACCCTTTTTTACTTTTGCTGCTTTCACTAAAACAGCAGTAAAGAGTTTTAAAATTTTTTGTTCAACTAGGACAGAGACAAGATGACAGCAAAAAGCTGTGGAATCTGTGAAGCTTATGGATGCGTATAGACCTAAAATATCTGAATCCCAGGCTAGAAGTCGAGAAAGACAAACAGCAGCCAATCTGTGCTGTAAAATCCCCCACGAAGTTCAGGCGTTGGCAGTGCTAGTTACCTCTGGAAGTTAAGCTGAGGGCGGCGAGAAAACTGAGAGGGTTGCCTGAAAGTCTGTTTTTAGAAGGCCAGATGCTGTATTGGTTGTGCAATACTAAATTAAGAAACCACTCCCAGACTTAGTGACTTGAAACAGCAGTTATTACCACTCACTGTTTCTGTGGGCCAGGACTTCAGGAGTGATTTGACTGGGTGGTTCAGGATCTTTCATGACATTCAGTCAGATGTCAGCAGATGCTGCACTCACCTGAAGGCTTGACTGGAGCTGATAGATCCTCTTCCAAGGTAGCTCACTTTCAAGGCTCACAAGTTGGCAGGAGACCTTAGTTCCTCCGATACGAACCTCTCTACAGAGCTGCCTGCATGAGCTTACTCATAGCAGGAAGCCTGGCTTCCCATGCAGAGTGAGTGGTCCAGAGACCAAGGTGAAAGATGCATGCTTTATGTGATCTAGACTCAGAAGTCACACCATCTCTTCTGCCATCCATATTCTGCTGGTCACCCAGGTCAGCCCTAGTGCTTTATGGAAGGGAATTAAACAAGGACAGGTGTACCAGAAGGTGAGAAATTTTGTGGGCCATTTTGTTTGTCAGATACCACTGATGTTGAGATTCCTGTACTTATTCTGAATGATCATGTGACTTTGATCATGAACAATAGGCTAGAAGTTTTGTCTCGGGGAAAGAGCAAAAATGTTCTCATCCGTGGTGTCCCATTACTGAGGGTGAGGTAAATCGTATAGTGAAAATAAGGAGGTAAAGTGAATATTTACATACTAATCTCTGGGTTCCTCAGCCGTCCAGAACTGTGCTAGCCAAGCTTGTTCCCTCTAGATAACGTATAAGAAGATTATTCTTAGGGAACATCCATCTGGCCCAAGAAAAAAAGACCTAAATATTCTGCCTCCAGTAAGCCCAGTGAAATGGCTTAAGCAGATTATCTTACAGTGAAACCTGTAATCAGTAAGCCCTAATCACGTACTAAGAGCTGCCAGTCAGGCCGTGAAGGACACTGATCCCTGAGCAGCAGGAAACAAATGAGGTGAGTCTTGTTACTGCCCAGCTTACTCCCTGAAAAGAATTTCTGATTCCAGGACCCAGGAAGAACTCACGTGGAGCCCAGCAGGCACTCTGAGTCAAGGAGATACAGCTGAGAGTCTGGGGCAAGAGCAGCAGCTATAGTTCGTAGGTAGAGAGTGCTGGAAAGGAGAGAGTTTTCATAGAGAAAGAACTCTACAGACATCTTCAGAATGGTCCCATAGAATATTCAGCTGATCTTGGTCAGTGATTTCAAGTGAGAAAACCATGTAAGGCTGAGAAAGATCACCTGAAAAGATCGAAGGAAACTATTATCAGTGCTCACACAAGGCTGTGAATAGTGTCTCTTCCCACCAGCTATGTGACTTGAAAACCTCATAATTCATGGGGCTTCAGCACTCAGAAGGGTCTTGCCTCAGTGTTGGAGAATAATTAGCCAACTGTCTGACTTGCAACATATGATGAGCCGTGGGCCTATGGTTTCCTCTTTTGTAAAAAGGAAACACTGCAACTTATCTCTTAGGAGTTTAATAAAGTTGAAGTAAGTCACAGAGCAATGCCTGACACGCTGAACATCAGTAAAAATGACCTGGTTTTTTAACATGTGTCAACATGGATAAATACGTAACACATAAGGAGTTTTTTATACAGGATGTAGAACATTACTACAGCATACGCCATTTATAGAAATTAATACAGTATCCAGAGGAAAAATTTTGTGTGTGAGTATATACTTTTTATGGCAAAGGTATAAATACATAGATAGGAAGGCTATAGCCACCTTCAAGACAGTGTTTGTCTCTTAAGATTAAAAGAAGAAAATGAAATTATCAGGGAAATTTCAAATATTTTAATGTTTATTTATTTAAAATATATCTTAAAATTATAATTTAATATTTATTAAATTTAAATGGTTTACACATGTGCTAATTAATCTCTACTGTTTAAATGTTTCAAACATTTCATAATTTGAAGTTTTTTTCAAAAACCTTTAAAAATATCAGAATGAACTTGTTTGACTTCTTTTTCGTAAACTCCTTTTCCCTTTTTAAAAATGGGAGTATATTTATTGTTCATTATGATGTAAAACTACAATGATAAATTCAAATGAAAAAACATATGTGAAGCAGAGAGTGTATATTCTTATATCCCCAGCAATAATTATTATTTACAACTTGTTATATATCCTTTCTAATCCTTTCAGACAAGTATAGATACATATAATTTTAAACTATATATAGTGAGGGTGAAACTTTACATGCTGTTTTTTAATCAGTTTTTTTCTCTTGCCAATGTACCATGGACATCTTTCCATTTTAAGGTAGTATATAGCTCTCTATTTCAGAAACTCCATTTCTGGATGTTATTTTAACAGAGAATATATTATTCTATGATAAGACTAATTTGGTTATGAACCCATGTGATGAAGGAATGATGATAGTGTCAACAACCTCGAGATTTTTCTTACCTTAGAATTTTATTGTTTAGAATTTTAATGTAGTTATCTTCTGCTGTTTTAACATAAAAGACATTATTGCAAGAGCATCTCAAGCAGACGCCGTTACAATCGTGATCTCGAACAAGATGAAGCATTTATTCCGGTTGGAGAATCATTAAAAGACCTTATTGACCAGTCACAAAGTTCTGGTAGTGGATCTGGACTACCCTTATTGGTAAGCTAGAATGTCATGTAAGCCTGAATGGTTTCCTGATACAGAATGTATTGTCATATGGTGTGAAAGTTGCTCAGTTGTGTCCAACTCTTTGTGACCCCATGGACTATACAGTCCATGGAATTCTCCAGGCCAGAATACTGGGGTGGGTAGCCTTTCCCCTCTCCAGGGTATCTTCCCAACCCAGGGATCGAACCTAGCTTTCCCACATTGCAGGCCAATTCTTTACCAAGTGAGTCACAAGGGAGATGTTTAGAAGATTAAATTAGTTGAAATAAGAAATACGAAGTAAGAAAGGACAGGCAGGTAAGGTAGAGCTGCAAGCAAGGTTAAGAGAGAAAGTGTGGTCATGAAGTGCTGTATAAGTGTTAGCATTAGCTCACACATTTTTAACAGCCATCTTGAGGAATCAGGTATAAAATTTTTTGCATCTGTAAGGTTAAATTGATCGATTAGGAGAAATATAACTATTTCAGATTCTGAAATCAAAGAGAAGTTACTCCCACAGATCATCTTCATAAGAAGATACTTCCCCTGGTACGAAACTATATTACAGAAATACAGTTCATAAAAATGTTAAAGGGAGATGTAGGTAATTCTCAAAGAGTTATATGTATAGAAATATTTAGATTTAAGGGTGAAGGGGATACTTATAATAAACACTAGATACCCAGATAGATTTTAAATGCTTTGTTTAGTTGGATGTGTTTAAACCATTGATCTCTAATTTTAAAATTCATTGAATCTGGTAATTCTGTAATTAAATTGGAAAGGTAAAAGTAAAACTGTCTTCATATGTGAACAACATGATTGTCTACATAGAAAATGTCAAGAATGATAATGTAAAACGACGACAACCAATAAGTGAGTTTATCAAGATTGCATAATAAGGTATTTGTACAAAAATCATTGAATTTATATACACTGTCGACAAGCAGGGATTACAATTTTAAAGGCGGTATCATTTAAAATAGCATTAAAAACTTGAAATATTTTGGAATAAGCATAACAGCATTTATGTATGACCTGTACACTTATAATTAGAAAACACTGCCAAAAGAAATTAATAAAACCATTCATGAGGAGATGTATATATATCCTGTTTTTGTATCAGAAGACTCAGTATTAAGGTTTCAGTTAGCTTAAAATTGATTTATAGTTTCAATTCAGCCCAAATCAAAATCAGAGCAAACTTTTATAGAATATGATGAGCTTATTCTAATGACTATTTGGAAATACAGAGGACCTAGAAGAGCCAAAACAGTTTTGAAAAAGAGTAAAGAGGTTTCACTACTTGATTTCTGGGCTCATTGTGAAACTACAGTAGTCAACACCGTTTAATCCTGGCATCGGGATAAATGTGTATGTCAGTGGAATAGAATAGAGTCTGAAAATGAACATACACATATGTAGTCAATTGATTTGGATACCACAGTAATTCAGTGAGGAAAAGAGTCTATTCAACAAAGGGTGCAGGAAAAATTGGGTATCCATTTGCCAAATGGTGAATCTTGACCCTTACCTCACTCCATATACAATGCAAAATCACCTTGAAATGGATCATAGACCTAAATAAAAAAGTACAAAACCTTTAAAAGAAAATGTTTTAGGAAATTATAACTTTGAGCATAGATTTCTTAGGACACAAAAGGAAAAGTCATTTTAAAAAAAGATAGATTGGTCTTTTCTTAAAATTTAAAACTTTTCTTATTCAGAAGATACAATTAAGAAGATGAAAAAATAAAGTCACAAACTGGCAGAAGAGTTTTGGTAAAGAATTTGTGTTGCAGAATATATGAAGAGTTTTTACAACTCAGTAATGAGTCAAAAACCCAGTCTTTTAAATGGACAAAAGATTTGAACAGTCGCTTGCCCAAAAAAAATATAAGGATGGCAGATATGAACAGCACGTGAAAAGATGCTCAGCGTCATCAGGGAAATGCAGATTAAACACCGTGAGATACTACTACACATTCACTAGTTTGATGAAAACTGAGAGTATTAAGTGTGGAAAAGAAGATAGATCACCTGGAAATCTCATGGAATGTTGATTGATATGTAAAATACAGCTACTTTGGGAAACAGGTTGATAGTTGACTTTTTATACAGTGAAGCAGTCCCTCTGCTAAGTGTTTACAGAAAAGATAACGCAGGGACTTCCCTGGTGCTCCCTGGTGGTTGAGAATCTGCCTTGCAATGCAGGGGATGTGCGTTCAATCCCTAGTTGGTTATCTAAGATCCCATATGCTGAGGGGCAGTTAACTAAGCCCACGAGCTGCAACTACTGAACCTGTGCACAGCAGTCAAGATCCTGCATGCCACAACTAAGACACAACGCAGCCAAATAAATTTAAAAAAAGATATGCAGATGTGTTCCATACAAAGACTGTGAATGTTCATAGCAGCTTTATTTATAATAAGTTGTAAACAGCCTGGGGACTTCCCTGGCGGTCCAGTGGTTAAGACTCCATGCTTCCACCACCGGGAAGGCAGGAGTTGGACAGAGGTACAGATTCAATCCCTGGTCAGGGAACATTGCACATGCCATGTGGCCTAATAAATGAACAAGAAAATGTTTTTGATTTTTTTTTTTAATTGTAAACAACTCAAAAATCCATCAGTTGGTAAATGAATAAATTGCAGTACATTCTTAGAGTGGAATACTGCTTGTCAGTAAAAAGGAACAAACTACTGATACATGCAACAGCAACGAAGTACATTTCAAAGTATTTTATGCTGAATGAAAGAAGCTAGACACAGAGGCTACTTATTGTATGTTTCCATTTATGTCATATTCAAAACTGTAGGGACAGAAAAGAAATCAATGATGCCAAAGACTGAAGGTAGGTGGGGAGGGAATTGGCTTTAAAGTGGTAAAACTTTTTTGAATTACAGAAATGCTCGACGTCTTAATTGTGATGTTTGGTTGTGGTTACATGACTGTATACATTTGTCAACACAGTTTACAAAAAGAGTGAATTTTATTATATATAAATTGACCTCAATAATTCCAACTTTCTAAAAAGAAATCACAAAAGGATCTTGTAATAAGTGATACATAAAGTAAATCAGTTTAGATACTCATAAATCTAGTCCATTTTAACTATGTTTCCAGCCTGGACCTTAGTGTCAGTGTCATTTTATTAGTTTAGATTGGCTGAAAATGTTTCTGAAAATGAAAGGTAGCAATTTATGTGCATCTTTCATCCAACAAATACTGATGAAAGCAGTATTGTACTAAAGTTATTGTCCTATATAAATATCTGTGTTCTGTGAGTCGTGGGGGATGGAATTCAAACAAATATATATACAAATAGTTATAATTGTGATAAGTGCAGCAACTGAGAAATATATATGTGCTATGAAAGTTTTTAAGAGAGAAATAATACTTGTAAGGAAACTACACATACAAAAAGACTGAGATAGGAATGAGCTTGACTGAATTCTAAAAATTGAAACAAGATAAATAAGAGGGGTGCCCATGGGGGGCTAGAGTGAAAGATCAGGCAGAAGAGTTAGGCAAGGGCCAGATCGTGTGGGATCTTACATACAGACTGAGTTGAACATTTTTAACTGTCATTTTGGATTTTGTGACATGATAAACCACCCCAAATGTCAGTGACTTGAAACAACTGACATTTATTTTTCATGATACTGTAGGTCTTCCTGGCATTTCTTTTTCTGAATTTGTTCAGCCAGACCCAAATTGTAAAGTTTATGTACATGGCCAGTGGTTGGTATGGTTTTGCTTTTAGTTACAGAGTGCCCTAAAATGGCAAGAAAGGGCAAATCCCAATGCACAAAGACTTTTCACTTGTTCTATTAATACTTTTGCTGTTATTCTTTTGCCCAAAGCAAGTCATGTAGCCAAGCCCAGAGTCTGGGCAGGGAGACTACCCAAGACTGTGTGTACTAGAGGGGAATTATATTGACCATTTTTGCAAACAGTCTGTCACACTGACAGATTGTTATTTTGTGATTTTAGAATATATTGTACATTGTTTCATCTTCTGAATACAGTACAGTCTTCCCTCAGGATTTACCTGAGGGATTGGTTCCAGGATCCCTTGAAGATATGAAAATGTGGAGATGCTCAGGTCTCTTACAGCCAGCCTTCCATTTACAAGGATGCAGAATGGATACAGAGGCCAACTACATAAATGTTAATATTGGAGTTGGTTGGTTGTGTATACCATCCTTTTTGATGGGTTGGCCTATTAAACCACTCTCTCAATCTTAATACTTCTCATTTTACTTTTTCCTATTAAGGTTCAGCGAACTATTGCCAAACAGATTCAGATGGTTCGGCAAGTTGGTAAAGGCCGATATGGAGAAGTGTGGATGGGTAAATGGCGTGGGGAGAAAGTGGCAGTCAAAGTGTTTTTTACCACTGAAGAAGCTAGCTGGTTTCGAGAAACAGAAATCTATCAAACTGTGCTAATGCGCCATGAAAACATACTTGGTGAGTATACATTTGATTTTAGTTCCATATTCTACAAAGTTAAAGGGATGCTGGTGGAAGCCTAGCTCAAGGGCTTGAAAACATAAGTGAGCTCAGCTCTGTGCATTTGGCTAAAGGAAACCTAGTGGAATACATACTTTAAATACAACCCAGTCCTGAATGCAACCAGCCAATCTCTATACATACCTCAGATATTTTGGGGTTGGGTTCCAAACCACTGCAATAAATCAGATATAGCAATAAAGCAAATGACACAAATATTTTGGTTTCCAAGTCCTTTTAAAAGTTGTTTATACCATACTGTAGCCTAAATGTGCAGTAGCGTTATATCTAATAAACAATGTACATACCTTAGTGTAAAAATACTTTACTGCTAAAAAATACCAAAACTACAATAGTAACATCAAAGATCACTGATCATAGATCACCATAATAAGTATAATAATAATGAAAAAGTTTGAAATTTTTTGAGAATTACCAAAACATGACACATGAAGTGAGCAAATACTGTCTGAAAAGTGGCTTCTATAAGACTTGTGGTAGGAGTTGCCAGAGACCTTCAGTTTGTTTAAAAGTCTCTAAAAGGTAATTTAAACAATTTTCTAGGTAACTTTAACTATGTGTACTTTTGCCTCCTATAAAGGAAATTACCCCCCACCTCTATAAGATGTAGCCTCATTTATGTTCTATGCTAGTAGGTCTCTCCCCTCACCTCCATTTACACAATACCAAAATAACCTGGGTGTGATTTGATCAGTATGGCACATAAACTCATCTGCCTTCCCTGGCTTCTTTTCAGCTACTGTTTCCTTGCCCTTTACTTTAGAGAGTGCATAGCATGTTGCTAATAATTCCCTACACTAATTGTATTACTTTCTTAGAACTGCTTATTGAAGATTACCACAAACCGTGTGGCTTAAAACAATAGAAACTTAATCCTCTCCAGAGTTCTGAAGGCCAGACGTTTAAAATCAAGGTGTTGGCAGGTCCAGGCTCTCTGAAGGCTTTAGGGGAGGACTCTTCTGCCTCATCCAGATTCTGGTGATTGCCAGCTAACTGTCTTCAGCATTTCACACTTCAGGATCTGTCTTTGTTGGCACATGACCTTTCCCCCGTTGTGTCTGTGTCCAAACTTCCCTCTTCTTGTGAGGATACTAGTCATTGAGTAGGTATCCACTGTAATCTAGTATTCACCTCACCTGAACTTGATTATATCTACAAAGACCTGTCTCCAAATAAGGTCGCATTTATAGAGACCTGGTGGACATGAATTGGTTGTGGCAGGGAGGGCTATTATTCAACTCAGCACTCTGACCTTCTGAAGAGAGGGAGGATAAGAGGAGAAGGAAAGAAAGCCAGTATCGTGAACTTGCTTGTCAGTGAACCAGGCTGAAAAGACAGATGTGATGAGGCATTGATGGGCAAGTGGGTGTTAGCTTAGTTAGGATTGAACTCTTAGTTGAATATAGTAGAACTGGACATGGAACAACAGACTGGTTCCAAATAGGAAAAGGAGTACGTCAAGGCTGTATATTGTCACCCTGCTGATTTAACTTATATGCAGGGTACATCATGAGAAACCCTGGGCTGGAAGAAGCACAAGCTGGAATCAAGATTGCTGGGAGAAATATCAATAACCTCAGATATGCAGATGACACCACCCTTATGGCAGAAAGTGAAGAGGAACTAAAAAGCCTCTTGTTGAAAGTGAAAGAGGAGAGTGGAAAAGTTGACTTAAAGCTTAACATTCAGAAAACTAAGATCATGGCATCTGGTCCTATCACCTCATGGGAAGTAGATGGGGAGACAGTGGAAACAGTATCAGACTTTATTTTTGGGGGCTCCAAAATCACTGCAGATGGTGACTGCAGCCATGAAATTAAAAGACACTTACTCCTTAGAAGGAAAGTTATGACCAACCTAGATAGCATATTGAAAAGCAGAGACATTACTTTGCCAACAAAGGTCCATCTGGTCAAGGCTATGGTTTTTCCATTGGTCATGTATGGATGTGAGAGTTGGATTGTGAAGAAAGCTGAGTGCTGAAAAATTGATGCTTTTGAACTGTGGTGTTGGAGAAGACTCTTGAGAGTCCCTTGGACTGCAAGGAGATCCAACCAGTCCATCCTAAAGGAGATCGGTCCTAGATGTTCATTGGAAGGACTGATGCTGAAGCTGAAACTCCAATACTTTGGCCACCACATGCGAAGAGTTTTGTTGGAAAAGACCCTGATGCTGGGAGGGATTGGGGGCAGGAGGAGAAGGGGACGACAGAGGATGAGATGGCTAGATGACATCACCAACTTGATGGGCATGAGTTTGAGCAAACTCCAGGAGTTTGTGATGGACGGGAAGGACTGGCGTGCTGCAGTTCATGGGGTCGCAAAGAGTCGGACACGACTGAGCAACTGAACTGAACTGAACTTAATATTTAACTCTAAAGTAAAGGGCAAGGAAATTGTAACTGAAAAGAAAGCCAGGGAAGGAAAGAAGCCAGGGAAGGCAGATGAGTTTATGCACCATCCTGATCAAATCATACCTGGGTTATTTTGCTATTGTGTAAATGGGGGTGATGGGAGAGACGTGCTAGCATAGAGCATAGTTAACTTAACCAGTACTATGGCCACCTCATGTGAAAAACTAACTCATTGGAAAAGACCTTGATGCTGGAAAAGACTGAAGGCAGAAGAAGGGGATGACAGAGGATGAGTTGGTTGGATGGCATCACTGATTTGATGGACATGAGTTTGAGCAAGCTCCAGGAGTTGTTAATGGACAGGGGAACCTGGAGTGCTGCAGTCCATGGGGTCACAAAGAGTCGGACATGACTGAGTGACTGAACTGAACTGAACTGAACTTTTTAATGTGTCCGCTTTTCAGTTTGAAATGAAGAGCAATTTCCACATTCCTTCTTCATAGTTCTTGATGTTTAGGGAATCATGTAGATTAACAGCATTCCCTCAGGTTATTATATATGTGATCTTTTTCTTAGTCATATTATCATTTTTATGATTGATTATTTAAATTAATTACAAAAGTAAAGACTTATGTGTAAATGACAGATAAAAATTTGGGTAATACATTCAAGAGATGTTGTCAGGTAAGTTAAATTTATATATCTATAGATGATACCCATGTTATTCTCAATATCCTGAATGAGCATCTTTTATTCTTCCTAGCCACCTCTGATAACTAACCTTTTAAACTCATTAATTGAACAGGTTTTATAGCAGCAGACATTAAAGGTACAGGTTCTTGGACTCAGCTCTATTTGATTACTGATTACCATGAAAACGGATCTCTCTATGATTTCCTGAAATGTGCTACACTAGACACCAGAGCCCTGCTTAAGTTGGCTTATTCGGCTGCCTGTGGTCTGTGCCATCTCCACACAGAAATTTATGGCACTCAAGGAAAGCCTGCAATTGCTCATCGAGACCTAAAGAGCAAAAACATCCTCATCAAGAAAAATGGAAGTTGCTGTATTGCTGACCTGGGCCTTGCTGTTAAGTTCAACAGGTGAGTGGTTCTTTGCCTGGTGTTTTGGAATTATTTTAATCTCCTAAAGACATTTACCTGTTTGTATTTGTATTCAGGACAGTGGGACTCCAAACATGTGAAGAAAAGTAAAGTGAATGTGCTAGTCACTCGGTTGTATCCAACTATTTGCGACCCCATGGACTGTAGCCCACCAGGCTCCTCTGTCCATGGAATTCTCCAGACAAGAATATTGGAGTGGGTTGCTATTCCATTCTCTGAGGGATCTTCCCAATCCAGGGAATGAACCTGGGTCTCCCGCATTGCAGGCAAATTCTTTACCATCTGAGCCACCAGGGAGGCCCTCCAAACATGTATTTGTGCTTATGTAATTATAAATGAGGATTTTGGGGGGAGGTTTGTCCTAGTGTTTTGTTCTCATTGTGGTTTTTGTTTTTTACAAAAATTGCATCCTACTCTACATAATTCTTGATTTCCTACTTTTTATTGTCTTAGACATCTACTTCAGTTTATATAGATCTTTACTCTTTTTAACAGCAGTATGGAAAGTTTCCCATTTTATAGATTACTATAATTTATCCCATCTATGACCCAACTGATGGACATTAAAGTTGTCTCCAGGTTCTATTATTTAAAAAGTACTTCATTGAATATTGTATTTTATCCATATATAATATTCCAGAGTACTTGTAAAAGTATTTCCTCATGATGGATTTCTGCAGAAGGGGCTAGACAGAGAGTATGTATATATTAAACTATATTAATAGGTTCTCCCTTTAGAAAATGTGCATCAGTTTATACTCCCATAAACAAGATTTATGTATGCCATTGCTTCATCCCTACTTGATATTGTCAATATTTTTTTTTTTTTTACAAATCCACACATTTATTTATTTTCAAGAAGTTTAAATCCTCGAAGGGTACAGCATCACACGGATTCTGTGTCCAATGGCCTTAGCAGGAAGGTTACTTTGGAATTTGGCACAAACCATGCCACTGTTTCCATGAGCTTGAGTTATCTTTCCCCAGATTACTCTGGTTTTGTTAGGTTTTCCACCAGGAGTTACTGTGTTGTTCTTTGCTTTGTACACATAAGCACATCTCTTGCTTAGATAGAATTCAGTTTCATCTCGAGCATATACACCTTCAATTTTCAGGAGAGCAGTGTGTTCCCTTTGGTTCCATAGACCCCGTTTATAGCCAGCAAAAATGGCCTTGGACCACAGCCTTCCAGACATATTTGTCATTTTAGAAGTCCCGTTCCCAGCAGGCCTCCACAGGGTCCAAGATGGCTGAAAGAGCGTCAGTATTTTTAAACAATGAGAATGTCACATTTTTAGGAAACCATTGAAATTGTTTTAATGTTATAACTCTAGAGTACAGCAGCCATTTCACATTTCAAAATTCATGTCAGGCCATAAAATTAAAGTACATAATAAAGCAAACATCAAAAAATTTAATCTTCTTCTGTCATTATTACAGTTTTCTATCCTATTGTTTTTTTCTATCAGGGGCGTTTTTATTGGCTCAAGTATTCATCAGATGCCATTTAAGAAAATATAAAGTACCTTATATTGATGTCCATTTCAGAATAGTTTCCAAAATCTTAACAGATCTGGGAACCTAAAAAAAAAAATCATTCATGTCTTCAAACTCTAAAATATACTCCCAAAATTAAAAAAAAAAAAGATAAATATTGCAATATGATTATGTAAACATGACTCACAATAGAATTAAGTTGGTTGGACCCATAAAGAAAAAAATGTAATCCTAAATCACAAAGAATCACATGAGAATGAAAAAAGCAAATGATGCCTCTCAATTTTCACATTCACTTGTCCTAGGACATAATTATCTACCACATTTTATATTCAGTACTGTTCTCTTCCTTAGAGAGACACAACACTTACTTGGTGACAAAACTTGGCCTGAACTGATTTGAGGTATTTACTGTCTTTATTTATTCAGTTAACTATGAATATTCATACTTAGTTTTTTGCTGTGGACTTAGTAATGATTTTAATTCAGTACTGCTCCAGACCCTGCTGGAGATGTTATATAATATATAGCATATATTTAAAGAGTATAATACTTTTTTAAAATCTGAAAGATGTTAAATTTCAAAATACATCTAGCCCCAAGGATTACTGACTGATAAGGAAATGTAGACTCATTAGATAGATTTTCATTTTATTTAGTTGTGTATACAAACACACATACACATAGAGAGACAAATTCTGACTGTTACGCAATGCAGCGAAAATAGAGGAGAAACGATTTTCTTCTTTTCCCTCAACCTGGACATTTTCTGTCTTCTGTTTCAGTGACACAAATGAAGTTGATGTACCTTTGAATACTAGGGTGGGTACCAAACGCTACATGGCTCCGGAAGTGCTAGATGAAAGCCTGAATAAAAACCACTTCCAGCCCTACATAATGGCTGACATCTATAGCTTTGGCTTGATCATTTGGGAAATGGCTCGTCGTTGTATCACAGGAGGTAGGAGTTTAGGTAGCATGTCTCTGGTTATGTCTGTATACTCATCATTCAAAAAATAACAGCTCCAGTTGTATAATTTGGATGTCATATATGTCAGGGATCTCCAAGATCACTCTCTGGTTCTGTAATTGCATTAGGACTCTCAGGATTCAGTGTACAGTTGTCTTCATAACAAAGATTTGTTACACTGAAAGGATACACATCAAAATCAGCGAAGGGAAAAAAAAAGGCACGTGGGGCAAAAGTTCAGAGGAAATTGGTCATAAGCTTCTGAAAGTCCTTTCCCAGTGGAGTCACTCAGGATGTGTTTAATTCCCCTAGCAGGGAATTGTGAAAATGTAAAATATTGTCCTCTAGGGAAGTTCATTAGAGATTTAGTACCCAGAGATTTTTTTTGGAGGCTGGTCACATGGGCATCGTCTGCCTGGCATGTATCAAAATTCCAAACTTCTAGAAAGAAAGCAGGTGGTCAGCATAAATTATATTGTTTGCACAAATAGTCCAGGTACAAAGGCCACCCTTTTCATTTATATGAGTAAAGAGAGCTGTTTACCAGGCAAGTTCCCAGATAGCAGCTAAGTGCCAATCTTGCAAGCAGGCCTTTTATACAGATAGCAATTTCAGGTCTGCTTTATTAACTCATTTCTACGTATACGTTGTCTTTCTACTGCAGAAAAAAAAAAACCTCATTTATTAGTAGAAGCAACTGTGTACATAAAAAATAAGACTAAAAATTTAGGTTGAATGGTTCACTTTGCTTATTTTAAGGGATATTGGTATGTTCAATATGGACAACTATGGTGGGGATATAGAAAATAATCAGATATTTTAAAAGGAGAGTAGAACATACATTTACTATTAAACGTGAATCATCTGCTCAGTTATCTTTTCTTCTTTATGGGGAAATTATAGTTCCTTAGTTCAGTAAGAAGTGTTGAACGGATTGATGTATTTTTTCCAGCCACCATTTTTGTGCCCACTGTTTTCTCACTCACTGCAGGAATAGTAGAAGAGTACCAGTTGCCATATTATAACATGGTACCCAATGATCCATCATACGAAGATATGCGTGAGGTTGTGTGTGTTAAACGTTTGCGGCCAATTGTGTCTAATCGATGGAACAGTGATGAAGTAAGTGGGATTCAGTCCTCTCAGGAAGTGATTGTTGAGTGTTGCCAAAGACACTTACCCACTCATGACATTCTCTTTACTTTTCAGTGTCTACGAGCAGTTTTGAAGCTAATGTCAGAATGCTGGGCTCACAATCCAGCCTCCAGACTTACAGCTCTGAGGATCAAGAAGACACTTGCCAAGATGGTTGAATCCCAAGATGTAAAGATTTGACAGATAAAAAATCATGAGGAGAAATTCTAGACTGCAAGAACTGTTTTCACCCAAGGAATGGGTGGAATTAGAATAGAATGAGGATGTTACCTTGGTTCTCAGACTCTTCCCTCACTACACCTTCACAGGCTGCTAATATTAAACCTTTCAGTACTCTGTAGAATACAAGCTGGGAACTTCTAAACACTTCATTCTTTATATATGGACAACTTTATTTTAAATGTGGTTTTTGATGCCTTTTTTTTATTGGATTTTTATGAACTGCATCAAGACTTCAATCCTGATTAATAAGTCTCCAGTCAAACTCTGGGTACTGAATTACCTGTTCATAAAATGGTGCTTTCTGTGAAAGCCTTGAGAAGATAAATGAATTCAGCAGAGATGGAGAAATATACACGTTTGCCTTCTACCTGAAAAAAATTTAATCTATTTGTATTCTACCTTTGTAAACAGCCTATGGATTATGATCTGTTTGGGATACAGTACTGCTTCGTTTATGATAGTTTGTCATGCCTTGATGATGGTGTGTGTGTGTCTGTGTACATACGTGCATACCAGAGTTCCTCTGCTGCCATTTGAATTAGAAGAAAATAATTTGTGAATGCACAGGAAGATATTGGTGGCTGTGGGTTTTATGCTTTAAAAATGCATTATCTGACCGAGATTTGCCAATCGCATAAAAGCCATTTACCTTGCAAGTGAGCTAGCTTCTCCACCAACTTTATTTTTAACATTAAAGTTAATATAAAGGCCAAAAGGAGTTAAAAGTGCGTGTAAATTTGGACTGTTTTCCTCCCACCACAAACTTTTTTTTCTGTTAATTGTTATTACTGTCATGAAAAGCATCCTGTCCAAAGTTGGAACTTCCAATGCCATGAAACCTAAAGAAAACACTTCTTATTGAAGTGAATACTAATTAATGAATTTGATAGCAATGTAAGTGCCTATAACCATGTTCTGTATTCTTTATTCTCAGTAACTTTTAAAAGGGAAGTTATTTATATTTTGTGTGTAATATGCTTTACTTGCAAATTACCTGCTCCTTTACAACCATATTTTATACATGTACATACATTAATACTATAGAAACCAGCTCATGTGTACCTCATATCCCATCCTTAAGGGAAAAACATTAAAAGATCATCAGAAAAATATATAAAGTAGAAACTGCATGTGAAATCTTCACAATTAATTCAAAACAGTATATCAAATCTAGGACTTTGTTTAACTTTAGGTATAGACTTTGATTAAGATGCCATCATCTCAGTTCTGTTCATGAAAGCATCCTCAAATTAGAAATTTCTATCTCACGAGTTAATACACATTTGTCATCAACTATTTTAGACACTTAAATCATTTAAAATTTTTAGTTTTATGATTTCAGTTTCATAAGTTTGTGAAAACAGTGAAAGGTCAGGCAAAAAGTTGAATATCTAGTCAGTACCTGTATCTATACCATACAGCTCTTATTCAATAACATATTTGAATATAATACATATTTCATGGATGCCTTGTTTTCCCAAGGAGTAACTCTGATCTACTTATTAAAATTATATTTCTGTAATGCCTTTTAAATATTACTGTCTTACTCTGAACAAACAGCTCATGGATGCATAAAGTGAGGATTTTCTTGAATACTGCATAAAATAAATGTGATTATCATAACAACATAGTAAAAAAAAACTTCAAAGTGGAGGAATCAGACAGTCAGGAATTGTCCATTGCCAAAAATGTGATTGACATTTAAGGATGAAACTCGATATATTGGTCAAATTTCACAAATTTGAAATTTGCTTTAACAGTTTTGACGAAGTTTAATAGTTTACTATCTAACATAACTAAAGTTTGGAGTGTTCATCAAGATAAGTAAATTTATATATTGATAGTACCCAATAACTTGCTCTTTGAGAATGTTGTCCCCATCACTATACTGAGAAATATAGATGTTTTAATCTAACTTGCCATGTAATTTAAGAATAATTATGAGCTCTGATATAGTTAAAGTTAACCTTGATTTATTTTTTATTTGATAACTATAAATCTTGAAAATAATTTGTCATCCTAATAAGGAAAATGTAAAGAAAGGCAAAGTATTCCTAGAATTGTTAAAATATTATGTGGAAGCAAAAATTCCAGGTAATATATGACCATTATAATTTTTTAATTAAATTGATCTATTAAAAATGATATCAAGGACTAACTATAGAAACTTGTTCAATAAAAGTATTTTCTAACAAAAGATGTTTTTTAATATTAATGGTCTTTGAAGAGCAAATGATGTCATATTTGAAATTCTAAAGCCTACAAAAAGCTGCAGGAAACCTATTTTTTTCTCTCCTTCTTTTATTCTTAAGTTTCTGACTTCTTATTTAAAGAGTAAAAGAGGAAGGATTTCATAGCACCATAGATAACTTGTAAAACCCTTAAAGTCATTATTTGGTCCTGCTTACAACTTAGCATCTTAAAAATTTGTGGCTTCTGTGTCTCATCCCTTTTAGTAAAACATAAAAACAAACAAAAAACCAAAGCTACCTGAATATAACAAAACTTAATCTTCCCTCAAAGAAAAGCCTCCTAATGAATTCTCTTTCTGTTGGTAAATATCTCTAGAATCAAAGGCATACTAAGATTGACTTTAGTGTGTCTATTCTGAGCTTTCCCTGTGTTTCTTATTGGACAAGTTTCTGAAGCATAAAATTTGAATCTGGTTTTTCTGCAACTGTTTTCATAAAAGATACTACAATCACCATTTTATATTGCCTTTCCAATTTCAAGAGTGTTTTTGACCTTAGAAAGTGACTTAAGGTTTTTGAACATTATCTTTTCCTAGAATGTGCCAGATTTTTAATTTATTCACTGTATAAAAAAATATTTGGTACCTATTTTCCCCCAGATGCTTTGCTTTTGTTTAGAACAAAAATGGAATTCAGTGTTTAAAGAATCATGCATCTCTAAGTTGACCCAAGATCAAATTTGAATAATTTATTCCAGGCAAGATTTTATAAATTAAATTACCTGTGTTTTATGTTGTTTTGAAATGTTTCTAAATATCTAAGATAATTTCAACAGCAGAAATATGAATTAACTTAAAAAAAATTGTTGCAGCTCTTGTACTGTTTAAAAGTGGTAATATTTATTGTTTGCTTGGGTCAGATGTTAAAATAATAATGTAGCAGTTCATCTTGCCTCAGTGCTGTTATGAGTGTCACAGTGAAAATTGCAGAGAGAGTTGACATATTCATAAAAATCAAATTAAATCTAGGGCAGCATCACATGAAGTTACATGTAATGATTGTCCCATAAGGAAAGTATGTGAATACTGCTTTTACAAAGGATTAAATATATTGTAATTTTAGCTTGTGCTCTGTACTATGCTTTCAGTGGAATTATTTAAGCCCATTTAGTGACTGTTGTACTTGCCCATTTTAAAAACTAAAATGTAGTATATATTGTATAAAATGAAAGTATCATTATAGCTTAATTAGGAAAGTTGTACATAAACACTGAAAAGGGTTAAAAACAGGCAGTTTTATTATGCAATTGTAAAACACCAAAAATATAGATTCATCTTTGATATGTAATACACTAAATGTATTTTGTACAGCATCTGGTTTAAAAGGTGCCTTATTAAGTTTACCATTGATTGCTTTGTTCTATATATAGATTACATCCAATGTATCATTTTTAAGTAAATAACCTTATTTTAGTATACTTTAGTGATGTGTTTTGTGAAACTCTACTTTGACTGTATTGTGTGTCAGAAGCCACGTGTCTGGTGAATTAACAAATAAGTTAGCATACATACTTATGTCCCTGAGATGTGCATTTCATCTACCAGAAACCCAGTATGAGACACAGACAGGTAAGTGACCACACACTCTTTCCTTTATGTAGATAAATTATAAGATAAATTACAAGCCTATTATAGCTGAGGGTTATTTTCCTTAAGATTTATTTTCTAATTCTAAAAATAGGTATACATTATAGAAATTTTAGAAAACCTAGGAAAGAATAAAGAAACAAATGAAATGATTCAAAATCCTATTGCCAGATAGTGCCACTACTTACATTTGGTGGTTTCTTTTCAGTCTTTTTTGCTGCTGCATATTTCTTATAATGTTGAAGTCACAGTGTGTGGTTACATATCAATTGAAAATATAATTTTTTTAAAAATTGACTACATAGCATTCCACTAAGTAGATGGAACAATTTGTTTTTATAATTCCCTGTTGAATATTTGGGTTATTTTCATTGTTTGAGAAAATATAATCAATGTATTGAACTTCCTTGTATATAAATCTTCATATACTTATTTTCTTAGGTTACACTCTTAAAAGTGGAAACAATAGATGTGAACTTTCAAAAGTTCTTCAAGATGAAAAAAAATCTGAGATTCTTGATAAATACTACTACCTTGCTGTCCAAAAAGGTTTCTCATTTACACTCCAAGAGCAGTGTAAGAGTGCTCGTGTCACTACCTAGCCAGGTAATTTCTTGCAAGTTTTTTCTCTTTCTGCTAATAGAGTGCCTGATTTCTTGTCTGAAACTAGCTTCTTTTAAGAGTAGTGGAGTCCGTTTATCTGACCTTAGTGTTCCTGCTGCAGCAAATGGTTTTTTTAAAGCTTAAACTTCAGGGAAGTAAAGGGAGCTTTCCTTCTCTCCTGTAGCAACATCATTTTGCCTCCTGCGCTTGGTCTTGCCACCTACCAGAGCTGTTTTCAGCTGTGTGTAAATTCAGTCAGTGTGCCTTGTGATGCCTTTTCTTCGGCATTTGAACATGTTAAATCCTCATAAGAGATTTGGAACTAGTTGATGTCTCCCCCCACAAAAAAAATATATATGTTGGGAGATACCCTATTATAGACTCCTTATCCTCCTTTAGTGTCAATGTAAGACAGTTTCTTGAAATAATAGCATGCTGTGCAGCTTGATAAAGAAGAATCAGGGATTTCTGGGGCCTATCAAGTACATGCCAGCTTTTTTCCCATCTCTAAAAAGCTGACTTGGACTTCCCTGCTGGTCTGGTTGCCACAACTGCGCTCCCAATTCAGGGGGCCTGGGTTCGATCCCTGGTTAGGGAACTAGATCCCACATGCTGCAACTAAGAGCTTGTATGCTTCAACTTAGATCCTGCTCAGCCAAAATTTTTTAGACACTGTTCTTCTGGAAGAGCCTAATCTTTATAGGTAGTTTTAAGCAGACACAAATTCAGTCATTAAGTCTTCATTCTCTGGGAGAAATATTTACCTGCCTATTGCTAGTACATGAACCATTTCTGGTACTTCATACTTCAGTTGGATGCATATTCCTAAAAAAAAAAAAGCCTGACTTTAGCCCTTGGAGCAGTACAGCCAAAGTGGACACAGTTCACTGCAGGTGACTGGCCAGAAGTATAGGGAGAGGCCATGTAATGGCAGTGTTCCTGTTGCAGTCATGGGGAGTTAAACACTGTGAGCTCATGGTAAGAGCAGATGGGCAAGTCACCCTGAAGCTGGGAATCAGGAAGCAAAAACTTAGTACAAGTACAAAGGTACATAGAAAACAGTATTTCAGATAGAAGCAGAGACTAGAGCTGAAAGGTTAATCCATAATTATCTTTTGAATTGCTATTGAATTGTAATTCTCTTTTTTAGATGCAGTATGTGTGGCCTACCTACTACTGCTCTGAACTTTATCTTCCTGGTTGTTGTCCAGTTACTTGCTCAGAGTGAAATTCAGAATGATTCTAGATGCCCCAGTGCTCCCTACCCCCCACCTCACTTAATGACCTAGATTTTATACAGGGAACAGGAAATGTTACCATTGTTTTAGAAGTCAATATGAAATTCTTACATTCAAAGTATTTTTAAACAAGAGGAAGAAAGAACTTGGGCCTCTTTTATTTTTAGGTAGGGAAAGCCTTTTTTGAAAGCAGCTTTAGAATCAGGTTGAAGCGCAGCTGTTGCTCCATTCTCTGTGCTCTCCTGTGTGACTAAAGTCCAAGTAAGTGTTGAAAACCACCAGAAGAAGGAAGGGGAAAGCTGTGGCAAAAAAAAAGAACCAACACTATTGGGGAAAGCATTTCAATCAGGCACTTTAAAAGTAGTTTTTATTATTAATAATTGACTGTCCCTTCACACTTGGCTAGTGGTATTGTTGAAGAGAGATTCTGACTTGGAAGATTCTGCTGCATGATCTCCAAGCATCCCTGTGGCCAGTAAGAAGTCTGATACGTGTCTGATTCAGTCCTTTCTGGTTTAACTTAACCCTTTTCATTCAGGGAACACAGTTTAATTTTTGTTTTTGATGTTTGGAAGTTTAAAACTTGCCATGTCTAGATATATTCATTCTGTTTCTCAGTACTAATTGGGTCCTGTTAATCTTTCCTTAGGAACTTTTCTTCCATCACTTCTCTACTGTCCCTTCCCTTTTACTTTCCTGTTTCTCGAACTGCTTTAGACAAATAATAGGTCACATGGATGTTGCTTCCATATTGCTTACATGTCTTTCATGTTTCATCCTGCCTTTTGCTTTGCTGCCCACCTACTGAGTGTTTTATTTCAACAACCAAATTTTATTTCAACTTTATTTGTATTTTGAAAAAATTTCAAACTTCAAGAAAAGTTGCAAAAGTAACTTTGCAAAGTAAAGTTGCCATTTACACTTCATCCAGATTTATAAACTTAACATTTGTCACACAAATCACTTACCGCTTTGCCATTCTTTATGTATACAAGAATTGCAGAGGTTCATCTTGGAATGTCTGTGTACAGACATCCACATATACTTTTTTCTGAACTACTTGGAGTAAATTACAGAGGTCATGCCTCTTTACCCCTGAATCCTTCAGAGATACTCTGTTACATAGCCAATTATATACAGTTTTCAAAATCAGGAAAGTTAACATTTATACCATAATGATTATCAGCAATACCATAGTCTGCAGACCTTATTCAGGTTTTGCTAGTTGTTTCAGTGAAGTCCTTGAGCACAGTTTCCTGGTCCATAAGCTGCCTAAGATCTTGCATTGCATTTAAATGTCCTGTCTCCTTATTCTCGTTCAATCTGAAACAGTTCTCTAGATTTTGTCTCTTGTGACACCAAGATTTTCCAGAATAAAGGCCAGCAATTTTGTGGACATGATGTTTGTGTCCTCAGGGCATCCCACCAGGATGCCATGGCATCAGTATCTCATTGATGGTGTCCTTGATGAGCCCTTTTTAAGGTGCTACTCACCTAGTTTCCCTGCTGTCAATTTCCTGTTTTCCTTTTGTACTTAGCATGTTGTGAGAGATACTTTGAGACTGCATTTTAACATCCATTGATAACTTCTACATGAATCAGTGATTACAGACTGGTGATTTTCTGATTCCATTTTTACATTTACACTTACTAATTGGCATTCTGCTACAAGGAATAAATGCTCTGTTTTTGTTTATTTTTTATTGTCAGTATGGACTCTCATTCAATAAGTTATAGTCTGTTAGGTCATTTTTTGTTCTGAGGCTCAAATTGACCCAGACTTGGCTACTGTGAGTTCATCAAGGTGGCGCTTGAGTCCTTTTGACGCATATCCGTTGTTTTTGAGCACTTTTTACTTTTGGGCACATGAAGATGTTCCAGGCTCATCTGGTGTTTTCCTTGCCCCTGCCATTGAGTTAACCATTTCTCTTTGGTTCCTTTTAGGGAGGATGATAATTAGGAACCAGGGTCTAGGTGGCAAATAATCAATCTGAATTTCCAATTTCCTGTATTGTTTATAGAGATTTATATATTCCGAAGTTCTCGGTTTGTTGAGTTTGGAACCTCTCTTTCAGGACACTGGATTTCCACTTATGTTAAGCAGTTTGATGTTGTTGCTCATCTGTGTATTTGTGAATCCTTGCTGAACCCAGTTCTGTGTTCCTCGGGTTCCTGCTTTTATCAAGGAGTGATGGAACTTTCTGTTAGAGCAAAAATAAGTAATCCTTTCCTCTCTTCTTAATCTAGTCAAGAGGATTCAGGCTTTCCCCGCTCTGCATGTTTACCTCTACAAGCAGAAAAGGGTTTTGTCATTGTCAGGCCAGGTTTAGGGGAGCTTTCTTCATGGAGGAATGATGCTCAGTCTGAAGCTGGGAGAGGAGTTTTTGAGATAAACATCATGGGAGAGGAGAGGAACTTCAGAGTATGAGAGGAAAAGGGAGTTATAACCAACATTTTTAATAGACCATATATCCTCTTCATGATGTTTCTGAAATGAGTTATTTTGACATGTTGTGGTTTGTGGAGACACAGCTCAGGATTTCCTCCAGCAGTCTTGGTTGTGATAAAGTCACACGTATCCTCTGGGTGTGGGAGGTTCTTGCCTCTAGGTGTCAGTAGCCGCCGTGTGACTGCTGGGGACTGACCGGCGGGCACTGCTCCAGCTCCAGACGGAGGCCACTGTCACCAGCTGCTTATTCAGCTCAAGCTGCCACACCTACCCCTCCTCCACAGACCAAGAAGGGCTGAGTGTGAGTTCAGGGATCCCCCGAAATCACTCCCATCTCTCAAGTGTTTTGATTTATGACTTCCTATTGCTATTTCATTTTGTAGTTTCTCCCTTGTACTTCTGTTTTATAGGAGTTAACTAAGATTTCCTGATATGTTTATGGTACCATGATATTTTTGAGTATTTTTGTGTATTTTTTTTACCATCGGGTTTAGGGAATTCTGATACCACTCTGTGCATGAGTCATTGTCTTGTTCTGGATGCCACAAATGAAGGGTGTTTTACACTTGCCTGGGTAATGGGGGGTCTCCTTTGCGGGCACTCAAAACAGACTCTCCACCCAGAGCCATTAATGGAAGAAATAAGAAATCCATTAGGGACTTCCCTGGCAGTCTAGTGATTAATACTACCTTCCAAAGCAAGGAGTATAGGTTCAGTCCCTGGTTGGGGAGCTAAGATCCCACATGCCTCATGGCCAAACCCCCCCCCCAAAAAAACCCAAAAAAACAGAAACAGTATTGTAACAAATTCAATAAAGACTTTAAAGATGGTCCACATTAAAAAAAAAATCATCAAAAGAAAATAGATCCATTGAACTTCAGAATTCTTGATAATCTGAGGTCCTGGTTACAGAAGTATTTAAACAAAATTTATACTTGATATTAAGATTTTGTGAAATTTACATGGAAAGCACTCTATTTGAAAGAACCATTGTCTCCAGTTCTTACCCCAGAAACTTCAGGAGTGGTTTATCCATGATTCTGGAAGAGTTTACCAGTTAGCACTTTTCATTTATAACTTCCCTGTTAAATAGCACCAGCCATATGTGGGTTGAAGGACATGTGCCCCTCATAGAGGATGTCAGTTCATAATAAGCCACTCTGCTTATTATGTGCAGTAAATTCCAAATGAAAGTCGTAAATAAGATTGTGTTACCCTAAATGTCTCACTTCGTCACCAGCACAGCCTGACCAGTAACAGCGGGACTGAACAGAAAGAAGACCCAGCATGGTCTTCCTAGAAGCAAGCGTGGCCTGGTACTGGCCTTCCAGTCTTTGGTCAGGAGTGGCCCTAATACGTCATATCTGGTGTTAGGATTACTCTTGCAGCTGAGCTGCAGTAGCAGGAGGCCCTGGCCAGAAGGAAGGGCAAAGGAATCGAGAGTTGAACCTGTGGTCAAGATAATAAAACACCAGAACATTTAGAGTTGTTAGACTGACCACCTCATACACAGGTGAAAAAGTTCAAGAGTGGTTGTGATTTACCCCAAGGTCAAACTGTCAGTGGCAATGTAGCTGGCATATTGTTCCTTTTAACACTGATATTTTAGCACATTGAGCACACCAAGCTTAGAAATTCTGAGGGACAAATTATTTGAATTCAGGAGCCCTGGAAACAATGAGAGGGGCCAGGAACCTTGTTAACCCTCACAGGCAACTCTGTCCTTTTTCATCACCCAGACCAATCTGGTTTTCTTATGGACAAAGGTATATCCAACAAATAACAGATACCTACTCCCAAAATAAAAATGTTTTCTGACAAGTAGATGACTGCTTTCTCAAGCCTGTTCTCTTCAGGATCTGTAACTTTCTGAAAACCATACATTAATATTGTAGGAATAACTACAACTCTAAGCTGTACTCTGTAATTCAATATTCTGTGGATACGGCCTCTGAGTGTTTTAGGTAGTGTTAACAACTGAAATTGTGAAGTCACATTCCAAATAGTTTGACTTTGCCCCATATTTCTACCTACTTCACCAAATTTTTTGTTCTCCATACTGGTTTGCTTTGCAAACCAGCCAGATCTAAAGGGCATCACTTTATTCCAAAGTTGATAATTCACTGAGGGAGATTTTACCATCTTCCTTCTCTTCTCTTAGCTACCTTCTTGTTGAGAAATGATGAGAACCGGGGTGGTCATAAGCTATTGGAGAAAGCAAAAAAGGTAAAGGCTATACACTTTTAGTTCGTGTTTGTCATGGCTTGGCCTTTACCCTGTGTGAGGCAGGGAGAAAAGGGAGTAAAGTTAAAGTTACAAGGTAAATTCAAGGAAGGACTGAAACTAAGGAAAAGATAATAACTTGTGTTTCCCTTGGTTAAGTCAACCAGGTCTTTTGTCTCCACTTTTGACTGATAGTCACCAAACAGTTGGTTTCCTCCTCCTGCTCCGTAGTAGATAGAGAGTAGCTTCCAGTTTTGTCCCAAATGTCACTTCCATTTAAACATATTCTTTTTGGGAAAGAATGGTTTTCTAGCATAAGATGAAGAGGAAGCAGGAGAAAGGTTTAAAGTGTTGTATGTAAGTTTCCAACCACAGGAGGAGCCAAATACCAAAGCAGCTGCAGAACACAGGGTAAGGCCAGGAACTGGAGTCCAAGCCATGCTGCCTCAGAAGGCAGACCGAGCCAAGAGTCACACACCCCGGGCCAGGGCCTGCCCGGGGAGAAGCATTCCAGTCTTTCTCATTAAGAAACAGCCAGACCCAGTGCATCTAGAGAGCGGCCACAAATACCACGTTGTCTTTGGAGAAGGTTTCCAGGGAAAAGCTAGACCAACTGGATGGTCTCCAGACCAACCCTGGCCTGAGTCCCAGGCCAAGAAGAGCTGGACAAGTCCACAGTGTCTGGTCAGAGCTGTGCTTGGTACTCAGGTCTTGAACAACAGGAAGCCCCCGAATGCAGTGCCTGGCGGGCTTCTCTTCATTATTGATCCCTGGGTTAGCTCAAACCACACTCTCTCACCCTTTTGCAGCTCAGCCATAGCAAAGGTTGTCGCTGGGCTCCCACCCCTCTGCTCCTCGGTGGTATAGACGGGGGTCCGATGGTGACCTCCAAACACCAGCTGCCCGGCGCCTGGTCCCGGACCAAATTCAATGCTCACTGCAAACAGATAGACCCCACGCTCAGGGGCTCGGAAGTAGCCATGTTCAGGGAAGTAGCTGCTGCCGACGTTGATGTAAGCAGTGTTGAACTTCACTGTCTGCAGAGCAGTGGTCCCTTCTGAAAAGCTGGCGTAGAAGGCCACAGGGGAGCCTGGAATACAGGGGGAAAGCATCAGTGATTCAGTCCCTTGCTCCCTCAGGTGGGAAATTATACCGAGCCCTACCTTCCTCACCTTAACATGAGAAAGAGATCACTATTTCTAGATAACCTAGATATTCCCAATAGCAGTGTATCTTGGGAGTTAACTGGCTAATTCTCAGCATTTCACTAGTTGACAGGAAAATACAAGTCTGTTGTCTGTATTAGTGTACATTTTAACAAAGCTTTTTCTTGTTTGATCCTTCTTTCCAACATACTTGAGAGGAAAGTACCCTGAATGAGGAAGCTGAGTAAGTGGCATCTAAGGCAATATACTTTGTCAATGACAGACTGGATCTGGAACCTAGGTCTCTTGACTCCCAGATTCCTGCCACCTTCAAGGGATCTTGAGATACCCAGGGGAAAGAAAATATTACGTCTCCTCAAATGCTAACCCTGGTGAGATCATTAAGGAATGGAGAGTGGTTCTTACTAGATGTTTATCACAGAACCCTTGACAGAGAAGGAAAGAGCAGGTGGGTCCAGGCAAGAAAAATCCTTTCAAGCTGATCATGTTAATATTTTCAAAATGTTGTACCCGAACCCAGGGAGGGGAAACAGGCCCAGAAAGGCAAGGCTTGCTCCAGACGACACACTAATAAATGGCCAAACTGGGAGGAGCTAGCTGTGGGTCTCCTGACTTCTGGGGCTCTTCCACTTGAAGAACCAAGTTAGTAAATCTAAGGAGGGTAAAATACACACAAGAGGCCTGGAGCCAGAGGAAGCCTGGGTGGATGGGGGCTTTAAATGTGCATTAATTTTTTTTAAACGCTGTCCTTGTAGAGAAGGAGGACAAAAAGAAGCAAATGAAAAATATGGGAAACCTGTTGAAAATGTGTTCATTTCCCCAGTACCCCTCGACTCCCCCATCCTGGCCTCCGCACTGATGAGGTCATGTTCCTCACATGCTCCATCGTTGTTCCCTTAAGCTAAGGGCTCTGTGCCCCCTCCACCCCTCTGTGGAGACCAAGCTCCCCATTTCTTGGGATGAAACCGAGGCCCAACAGGAAGCATTTGCATAGAAGACTTGAGTCCCAGAACAACAGCCCCTGCACTTAGCCTCTAGGTCTAACAACAACAAAATGACAAAATTTTGCTTTTCTTTATTTCTGGAAGGTTTTCTGGGAGTTAGAATAGTTCTCCCGTCTGCATGCTGCTGGTGGCTCTGTAGTTCTCCCAGAACCCAGGAGGTGGCTCACTTGCCCCGCTGAAGGAAGGCCAGCCTAGCATGCCCTCTGCCGGAGGCCCCAGCCAGCCAGTGGCTGGATGTGCTCCTTAGAAGTGGAAGGGTTGTGCTTCATGTTGGCCAGCCAATGAACTCAGTGCGCTTCCCTGCAGAGCACAGGGTCAAGCTCAATGGCCTCCCCATATGAAACTTTTAATTTTAAGGGAAAGAAAAATTAATATTTCAGTGGTAAACTCAAGATATTTAAACTATCAGGCAATTTGAGGCCTTGCACTACTCACAAGAGGGTAAAAGATGTGTGATGGGTAGCCTCATAGCCACAGCCATGAAAATACTGGAGAAGTGGGGAAACTGACATGTTTCTAGTAAATTTTAAGCCTTGTGCTAGGTTTTTGGCAAATGTATCTACTAGTCCTACCGGCAACCATTTGTTGTAGGTAGGGGTTCTCCCTTTTACAGAGGAAGAAACTGAGACACAAGTGGTGCTAGAAGCTGTATATGTCCACTGCTCCCAGGGAGACACTGGCTTGTGGGGCCATCGTGGAGAGCGAGTGGGAGCGGGGCAGGCTTGTGGTACGATCCTCCACAAAGCCGCAGACTACCCACATGCCAGGCCTCACCAGGCATACACAGCCCAGATGGCAGCTTTGTCCTCACCCCCGTGTTTAGGTGAGGAGGTAGCTGTGGCCCTAAGGCCATCTTCTCTGGCAAGGGAGTCACTTGAGTAGGGGTCCACTTCCCAGGGCCATGCTCAGGGGGGCTAGGAAGGCTGGCTGCTCATCTCTTCAGCCTCAGAACCAAGTTTCCCAGGACCCTGTAGGGACCCATTGAGGGCCTTTCACAGGGGAAGAGCCAGCTCCCTAGAGACAGCTGGACTGGGTTTCTCTGAGCTGTCTCAGACAAGCTCCTTTTGGATCCCAAGGCCTTCCCCTGTACTTGTGGGGTGCTGCCCCTGGCAGATGACACCATACCTTATCCAGACACTCACCTGTACATAAGAGAAAGCTTAAAGACATGTGGTGGGTGCAGTGGGATGGGGAGAAAGGCTGAGATTGAGGGATTTGAGAGTGTGGTTATGGAGGAGAGGGCTTCTCTGGTGGCTCAGACAGTTAAGAATCTGCCTGCAATGCAGGAGACCTGGGTTCGATCCCTGGGTTGGGAAGATCAACCTGAAGAAGGGGGCAGCTACCCACTCCAATATTCTGGCTTGGAGAACTCCATGAACAGAGGAGCCGGGTAGGCTCCATGGGGTCACAGTCTGACACAACTGAGCGACCTTCATTTTCACTTATGGGAGAGAGAAACACCCCCACCCCTAGCCCTACTGTTGGAGTGGCAAGCAGCCGCTGGTGTTTAATGGGCCTCAGATGTCTGTGTGGTGGGGCTCAGCCTGCTCACTGACAGTTCAGTCCTGTGACTTCTACCTCCTGATACCCCAGGTAGCTTATACTCCTAATACTGCCTAGTTCTGAATGGAAGGTAGGTCAAAGGCAAAGTGGCCCTGAGTAGCGGTGACTGAGGTTCATCCTGCTCTCCTTCACCCCTGCCTCCTCTGAGGCGGAAGAGCTGTTGGCAGATAGCAATCCTAGACCCCACCTCCTCTAGGAACTCAGGCCTAGGAACTCACCTGCGTCCCAGAGCAATGGCCCTTTGACATGCGCATCCTCTAAAGATTCCACTTGCTTCCGATCCCTCCTCTTGGGAGCTTCCAGGCCTTTCTGCTGCTTCTTCCCTTTCCTGTTCAGCATGGCCTGCAGCTTCTCAAGGTCCAGGCTGACGTTGGCTGCCACGAGCCCTTGGAAGTTCCCAAAGAGGCTGTGGAAGAGGCGCTGGTGCCTCTCCAAACCGCGCTCAGTCGTCGAGAGCTCCCCGCGAAGGCCCTCGAGGGAGCTATTGAGGGAGGAGACCCAGGAGGCCTCACAGCACCGACCCACACGCTCCATGTCCGAGCTCAGGCGCTGGAGCTCCTGCGCCAGCCCATCCAGGTCCAGCGCACCGACCTCCTCTAGTGAAGCATCCTGGCTGGGCTCCAAACGCGCGGTTTGCCCACTGGCCCCCGAGGCCTGTTCCAAGGCAGTCACCCTGGCGGCCAACGCGTCCCAGCCTAAAGCCTGCTCCCGCAGCCCGCTGGCCGCGTCCATCAGGGCGACGCGGATCTGTTCGTAGCGCAGGGGCAGCGTGCCAGGCCCCTCCTCGGACATCTCCTCCATCACCTCCTCCCCGAAAAGAGCAGCCAGCACGGCCTCGTGCCGCAGCGCGTCCTCCAGCAGGGCGGAGAAGGAGCTGTGCAACTGGCGGATCTCGCGGCGGATCTCCGTCTCATTGGCCCGCAGCGCACTCACCTCGCCGCCCAGGGCACGCAGCTGGCTCCGGAGCCGTGCCGCCTCAGCCCGTGCCCGCTGACTCTCTGTCTGGTGCGTGTCCACGGCCAGCGATAGGGAGGCCACCGTGTCGCTCAGGGCCTGCAGGGAGGAGCCGTCCTGCTGGCGCCGCTCGTCCAGGCTCACCTGGGTCTCCTCCAGGGCTCGCGTGGTGTCCCTTTGGTCCTCCCGGATGACATCCAGGTCAAAGTAGAGTTTCTGGCAGTTGCAGTCC